AGAAAGAGTAAAAACAATCAGATGCTTAAAATCATCAAACACAATTATCAAACCAACCGCTTAATTAACACTGTCATGTGGTCACGATCAAAAACCAGAAACAACCAAAATCTGAATTTGATATTCCACTTGGCAGATCGAAAACTTGCCAACAACTGTTCCTGGAAACAACAGCCCATTGTATCTCCCTGCTCCCTTGGGCAGTGCTGCATCCCAATTCCATTAGCGGCCAAAGAGTGTAACGGATCCATGTGTATTCATCTGGCAGAGTGGACAATAAATTCGGCTTTATCATGCTCCTCGTGACAGCCAGGTGGTCAATGGGATATCAACAAGGTTCAGCTGGATGATATTACAGGGGAAATTAGTCAAGGCCGATGTGTCATCGCTATCGTAACTTCTCAACGAAACGAATCTCTAGTGGTTTAATGGTATCTATATGTCATGCTTTGTCAGAATGTAATGCTTCCATAAACGCATCGTTATAGGTAACTGGGAGAGTGTTTCGTAAGTATGACGGTGGTATTACCCTGGCTCTATCGTGACAAGGGTCATTAATATATCAATGTTTTTCTTATTAACGTCGTTCTCGGTCTTTTCGGCTCTAATCCTTACGGGATGGGTGGACTTAGACTGGGACTGTTGTTTATTAGTTTCCTCGCGACGCCGAAGACCCGATTTGGATTTCTCACATAGACGCGGTATTGGGAACTCGTCTCAAGTGTCCCCCGACATAATGTTGCTAAAAGCGGCGTAAGGCCACAGTTAGACACTCCGTGGCTTTAGACAGGGTTTCGTGACGGAACTCATACGGAGCTGGGAGAATCATGTACGGTTTGCAAGTTTTGTTTGTGTAGAATAATGACGTTATGGGCTAATGGTATTGCAGAACATATTCATCACTGGTCCGTGTTACATCAATGAAGGTTATGAATTAATTGTTTTGGAGTTATTGATTGAATGATTCATCGACAGGTGCGGGTATCATGATGCATGCCACTTCAGGGGACGCAGAGCGATGCAATACATGTTGATGTGCAAGCTGCACAATTCACATGTTGATATCGACAACTGTTTCCATTCATTGACGTAATTGCAACTACTATCCAAACAGTACTTGCAATTCAAACCAATCACAAACGATTTATTATTTTGGGCATAATCGTACATCAAAACCCGAGCTCATATAGTATGTGCAGGTGTTAATCACAGGTGTTTCATGTGGGTTGGTTGGTTTGATTTTAACGCCGCACGCAGCAATATTCCAGCTGTACCACGGCGGTCTGTAAATAAACGAGTCTGGACCAGACAAGCCAGTGATCAACAACATGAGCATCGATCTACGCAGTTGGGATACGATGACATGTGTAAACCGAGCCAGCGGGCCTGACTACCCAATCACGTTAGTCGCCTCTTACAACAAGCATGGGTTACTGAAGATCAATTCTTACCCGGTTCGTCACAGATAGTGCCATGTAGTTATACATGTACGTTTGCTATGTGTCGGGATTCTTCAAATGAGGTTGGTGCAAAATGTGGATCATCTGTACCTTCAGGCTCTTAGACTGATATTAAGTCCCGAAATATAAATAATCTAAAGGGAGCCGAGAACAATCCCTACTTTCGGGAGCTGAGTCAATCTAGACTTGCCAAATCATTCTCAAGTTGAGTAAGTTTCGCACTTAATTTATTCCCTAGGTTCCGAAGGCTGGGCTAGATTGAACTTAGTACACGTGTCCTTGTCGGTGTATATTGGCGATCCCGAGTCCACGGCAAACAGATCATTCTTCTGTTATCTTCTTACCATTCACTGGCTGACGAACCTGCACGTACTGCCAGTTATTGTTTTATCTTCTATGGAGCTTATATTATCTTCTATGTCAACCATGTCGACTGTATTTAAGGTGACGTGTTCAATGTAAGCGAGAGTGGTACAGGAGGGTACATGAGTAGACATATGCATGGAGTAGACATAACAGACGGTGCTGTGCGAGCATAATTGGTAATCGTCTTTCTCCCTGGCCTCTCCTGTATTTAGTTGTCATGCCAATGCATTTATTCCGCTGATCGCTCAGCTTAACGTCGGGTCTAGCCGTCTGATCTCACACCACCAGACGGACGTATAAGTGAAGAATTATATAATCAAATCTCTACCTTAAACTCATCGGTCAGTCTCTAAACTCCCCAGCACCACTTGTTTCATACTGATTAAATGTATACTGTGTATCAATGGCTGTTAGTCGATAAGATATGTAGACAGAGTCCTGTGTTGGACGTTGAGAATTATCAATGACGGGAGAACATTGCCAATCAGATGAGCTCCATCATCAACCCAGGTTATGACGGATGCAGTAAATATTAGTCTGGATGGTGTGTTTGACAGGGAATGATGGGTATCGATCTGGCAAAGGATACACCAGACTTTTGTTGTCAGTGGTTATAGATGGGCAATAAAGGCTGTAGGCGAGGGAGAACGCCAACTGTGCACTTAAGAGGAGTCACTTGACGGAGATTTCCCGTGCTATCCGTTGGGATTAAAGTCTTTGTTCTATATCTATAATGCTGGATAACTCGCCTTTATGGACGAGAATCCAATTCATCTATGAACCACTGTTATAATATTATCCTATGAAGGAGACGTATTGCACGATGTGTTTACTTTCTGATTCCGGTTACTGAATGTAATATTTATAATTCCCTTGGTAGTTTTATAGGGTTCCATCATGATACGCGCGTGTTAATACAAGGGAAGTAACTCTCATCTACAGGGAGCCCCTATAGAATCTTGATATAGGTGATACCCGTCGCCTGTTTCTGTATGTGTCGATAATTTGTATTAGTTTACCTATTTTCTGAGTGGCAATACCGTAGATACTAAAATCGTCATTACTACTTGTGCTACTTCACTAATTTGATATTTCAGCTACGATTGTTATCCCCCGCAACGCGTTTTGCGGGGGGTATTAAAATGGACTCCGTCCGTGCGTCCGTCAGTCCGTCCGTCCGTCCGTGCACATTTGTCTTTTCCGGAGCAGAACTCTAAAACCGTTCAATATTTCTTCACCAAACTTGGCACATACATGGTTCTGGTGGTGTACTGGTGCCTTTTGGTAGTTTTGGAATTCTGAATTAAATATTTTTGGCGTTTCCATGGCAACAAGTTCGACTTTGACTGAAATTAGTGGTAGTGCTCTTTTCCGGAGCAGAACTCTAATACCGTTCAATATTTCTTCACCAAACTTGGTCCATGGATAGATCTGGTGGTGTACTGGTGCCTTTTGGTAGTTTTGGAATTCTGAATAAAATATTTTTGGCGTTTCCATGGCAACAAGTTTGACTTAGCCTGAAATTGTAGTAGTGCTCTTTTCCGGAGCAGAACTCTAAAACCGTTCAATGTTTCTTCACCAAACTTGGCACATAGATTGGTCTGGTGGTGTACTGGTGCCTTTTGAAATTAGGTAGTGCTCTTTTCCGGAATTCTGAATAAAAATATTTTTGGCATTTCCATGGCTTAGCCTGAAATTGTAGTAGTGCTCTTTTCCGAGCAAACTCTAAAACCGTTCAATGTTTCTTCACCAAACTTGGCACATAGATTGGTCTGGTGGTGTACTGGTGCATTTCCATGGCAACAAGTTTGACTGAAATTGATGATAGTGCTGCTTTCTGGAGCAGAACTTTAAAAACCTTTCAATACTCTCCTTCCACTTTTCTATATACACACCTAAATATTTGACATAATCATAACTCGTAGACATAATCATGAAGAGGATTTTGCCATTGCGGGGGATATTGATGACTTTGTCTTCTTGTTGAATTTGTTTCATTTCTTTATTGACAAACCTGACTCCTTCATCATTGGGCACATTATGGATGCAGTCGAAGACGCGTTCTGCAGAGTTGCGTCCCTTGGTCGTGTCACGATCCTATAACCGGGGGTCCGAATCCGTGAAAACCTTTGGACGTTCTCCACACGGATATGACAGGCCGGGATACGTGAGACATATTCCATCCACGTCATCCAGTCACCAAGTGCACAAATACAAACTTGTGGACAATTACTACAGCTGCTACTCGAAATCACCCCACTCACCCATGGGACACGTAATGCCTACAAAGTTTTATTGCAGTTCCTGCCGATGAACTGTTCGTACAGGAACTCATGCAACAACTGTAGCCGCAGCTTCAAGACCATATTTAATATCATGCCCAACACTTTACTCATAACCCCAGAGTCTAATAATTACATGGTATGAGTTTGGTTTAGTTTGACTAGGCAGTTAACTTCCTGCATGCATCGTCCATACGAGTTGGCTACATCGTCTACGTGTCTGGGACGTCTATACCAGTTGGCTACATCCTCTACGTTTCTGGGACGACCGTATGAGTTGTCTGCATCGTCTACGTCTGGGACGACGAGGCAAGTTGGTCTGCTTCATATGTGTCAGCGAGTACGAGGGATACAGAGGAGGAAACTGCGGTAGCATCCCACTCCACGCCCGGAATAAGGATCAGCGGGAAATGCTTCTTCGGTTACAACAAAAGAAATGGAAAGTTGTTGTGTTGAGGGCAAGAAACTGTTTTGTTTATAAACAGGCCAGCTGCGTTAATCGACTTGTTTACCTGCCATGGCGCGTATTATTTATTGTTATTGCTCATAAATAGGACAGTTTGTCAATCGGCTCGTTAAGTCTTTACATTAATTCTATATATATTCTTGCTTGTGTCATATCACGGACATCCGCTTCTTTGACGCCAACACAAAATGCGAAAAAATGAATAGTATTCTGTTTTGTTTGTATCAAATATCACGTTTGATATGACCACGCCGACAAGTTCTCACTCAACTGCTGCAACTACTGCCAGTAGCATTACTTGTACGATCATTCCGATACCTTGCTACGACTACCGCCACGATTACTGCAGCTACAGTGCGGACAGATGAGCACCCTGGGGCTGAAAACATGAAGGTCACGCTGGCATTATGGGTATCGGGAGGAAACCATCTTTGCGTGATGGAGTAAGACCAATGTGATCGTTAAACTCATATTTTTACATAGCTTTTGGTAGGCTAGTGGTTAAAGCTGTAGCTGGTTACACGGAAGACCCGGGTTCATTCCCAAATGGGTACGCGTGAAGGCGATTTTCTTTGGCCAATAGCAGTGTAAAACAATACACACATGCACATACACACATACGCTTACACGCTATCATAGGTTTCATCTTTGAAGTTTCATCGGGACGGTGGGTTAGCCTAGTGGTTGAAGCGTTGGCTCGTCACGCCGAAGACCCGGATTTGATTCCCCACATGGGTACAATGTGTGAAGCCCAATGCTCGTGTCCCCTGCCGTGATATTGCAGGAATATTGCTAAAAGCGGCGTAAAACACAACTCACTCACTCACTCATGGTTTCATCCGTATTATTGACGATGCATTACCGAGGACTTCGGCAGACTTGCACAACTTATCCTTCAAAAAAAGCAATTAAAATACTGCCGATTCCAATACCGTATCCCGTTAGTTTCCTGCCTAAAGTTCAAAGAGCTTTAAGAGTTGTTTACGTACGATGTCTGCACTGGTGTGCACTGTACACGCAATCTTCTCGTGTTCTATAATGAGCAGCGTCTGTGAATACAGACACTTCAGATATGTATCGGGATATTGATTGAAGTCATTGGGTCCACGGTCTAGGTTATAATAAATGTCATGGTTACAACAAACAGCAGCATTAACCCACGGCCATAGATGCTGATCACTTCCAATAGGAATGACACATGGACATCAATATAGTCTTCGCAATAACAACGCTGTTTTATTTATGACGTCCATCAGAAAACGCAGCCCGAAATGTTAGACTTGCAGTAAGTCGGACCGAAATGATGCATAAAGGCATGTTTATTATGTCATTAAACAGTATGGGATCTGATTATGTTTGCTATTCATGGGTGAATATTACGTTTGGTCAACATACTCGTGGTATAGACGTTTTGGCATTCTGAGCGTTGTGTTTTATGACCCTCTGAGCGATAAGGCTGTCATATATTCATGCAAAAACAATGTGTATGTTGACTATTTGCCATGCATTATGGACGAAGTCTGACAATGTGAAATAATCCTATGTATATTGCGGCCATTTGCGTCCGACCAAATAACACTGTGGTTTGTGGAGTGTCGAGTTATAATGCTGCAGCTAGGCCAGGTGATATTAGAATATAAATATATTCGTCGAAAAATAATAACTTCACACACCGATTGTTTATTCATGAACACGAAACATTCATTCGTTCGTTCGTTCGTCCGTCCGTTCGTTCGTTCGTTCGTTCGTTCGTTCGTTCGTTCGTTCGTTCGTTCGTTCGTTCGTTCGTTCGTTCATTCATTCATTCATTCATTCATTACTACAGGATTACGCCGAGCAAGTGTCCATGTGTCAGGGCTTGGGGATTAATCACTCACTCGTTCGTTCGTTAATTAATTCGTTCATTATTACAGGATACGCCGAGCAAGTGTCCATGTGTCAGGGGTTGGGGATTAATCATTCGTTCGTTAGTTCGTTCGTTCGTTCATTAATTAATTAATTCATTATTTCAGGATACGCCGAGCAAGTGTCCATGTGTCAGGGGTTGGGGATTAATATTCGTTCGTTCGTTCGTTCGTTCGTTCGTTCGTTCGTTCGTTAATTCGTTCGTTCGTTAATTCGTTCGTTCGTTCGTTCATTAATTCATTCATTCATTATTACAGGATTACGCCGAGCAAGTGTCACAAGCAGCTAGGGGTGACTATCCTGGACTCCCAGGTGTCCATGTGGCAGGGCTTGGGGATTGAGACCTTACTTACCTTCATCATGGTGTTCGCCGTGTTCGCCACCATCGACCCCAACAGGAAGGAGCTGGGTAGCAAGGCGCTCGCCATCGGAGTAGCTGTAGCTCTGTGCCACCTAGCAGGGGTAAGGACGTGGGTCTATATATCAACTCGTGTTGAGTGAGTGAGTGATGTGAGTCAGTCTAAATGTAATGTGAATCAGCCGAGGTGGAATATGAGTCACTCTAGGTGTAATTGAAGTCAGTCTAAGCATACATGTAATGTGAATCAGTCTTGGTCTAAAGCAAGTCAGTCAGTTATGCACGATTGTCTAGACGTAATGTGTTCGGTCAAGACTTAATGTGAGTCAGTCAAGATTTAATGTGAGTCAGCCTAGACGCTATGTGAGTAATCTAAATGTAATGTTAGTCAATCTAAACGTAATGTTGGACAGTCTAGTTGTAAGGTGTAAGATTAGACGTAATGTGAGTCAGTCTAGATGTAATATGTGTCAATCTAGCCGTAATATGAGTCAGATCCACGCAATGTTAGTCCAGACGTAATATGAGTCAGTTTAGATATAATGTGAGTCACTGTATGTGTAATGTGAGTGTGTTGGCATGGCGATATGTCAGAGTAATGTCTTTTAGTTTCATTTGTTGACCAACAGCCCTTGAATTTGTCAAGCAGGATGCTTTTCCCCAAATGCGACCTTAGAACTGTGATTGTTCAAAGAGGTCATACGTGTTACGATAGCTTTGAGAAACTGGTCTCTGGAGAATGATAATTACCTCGCTTTTAAAAATTGATTCAACATACCGTCGTGTCAATCCTTACTTTAACAGTGTGACAACATGCCATCAAGACCCACCAGGGGTAGTATGCTCCTAGGTTCCTGCAGGAGGTATTAACTGGTGCAAGTAAACATACTTATCACCATAACTGTTGATGTTTCAGTATCGCTTCACCACAAGCTCCATGAACCCAGCGCGATCTCTGGGCCCCGCCTTTGTCATGAATCGCTGGAAGAACCATTGGGTAAGTCACTTCACTGGCGTCACATGTGACGTTTACTGTTGTCATCAATCGCCACAATAATCACTGCTACAGGTACTCTGGTCTGTCTCCAGACCCTAGACAATATGTTAGAAGGGGAATCCAACTCAAGCCTTGAATGATTTGTTAAGTCTTCATTGCCTCAGCTCATGACATGTCGCATTGTTCTCTGCTCCATATGTACTTTACTCTTTGATCTGTAAGCTCTGGCATATATGTTGCTACATGTGATACCTGTATTTTGGGGCTAAATGTTAATCTATGGAAGAAGAGGGAGAGGTTTATTGTATTTTAGGCCTCCCGCCCACATACAGAACAAACCATAACTTTCACGATCGCATGTTACATGCAGTATTTCATCAATTTCGATGTATACTATTTTTCAATACTTTATTTCTTAAGGTTCTTGCATGTTTTTAATATAGGTGTAAAATATCGGTATCTTTTCTGGGGGTCATAAAAGAAGAGAATGCAATTTCTGGTGGTTTATTTTAGTACTATTTTGGGTATATACAGAATTGTCAGGTTATTAAGAGTAGGACATGTAAAGACAAAGTGGATTTCATTCTCAATATCTCTTTTACATAACACAAATGTTCATCTATATGTATGCCAATTAGTCTATTGATACGAAACAGTTGTCGTCAGAGTACACCTATTCTATCGTTTAAACTACAAGCAGTATATGGTGTTCCTGATTGTATTGTATTGTATTGTATTGTATAAAATACACGTGGCCAGCATGACCAACTACCGATTATGACCTCAAACGTCACGGCTGGAATGATTGTCTTCTGCAAGAACGTATGTTTACCACCACATGCTTCAAGTCGGTCCTCCTTTTCCAGATCTACTGGGTTGGACCAATGGTTGGCGGTTTAATGTCTGGCTTGTTATATGAGTATATATTCGACCCAAGTCGGAGTCGCCGAAAACCACGTAGTGTAGAGGAGTCACCATCATATCCGGATCCGGACGAGGGTAAGAGTTGTCGTTCGTGATTATTACGGTTTACGTACTGAAGGAATAATATATTTATCACGTGTTAGTACGACCCGCACGTCATACTGCGCATGTGCATGGTTGTAAAATTATAAATTCAGTTTTCGAATTCCCGATTCTCAACGAATACGATCCGTTGTATGCGCACACTGTACGCATATCTGTGGAATATTTTATGTTTAACCGGGGGTTAAGTCACTTTACTGACTGACTGACTGACTGACTGACTGACTGAGTTTGGTTTTACGCCACTTTTAGCCATATTCCAGCAACATCACAGCGGTGGGCACCAGAAATGGGCTTCACACATTGTACCCATGTGGGGATTCGAACCCGGGTCTTAGGCGTGACGAGCCAACGCTTTAACCACTAGGCTACCCCACCGCCCCTAAGTCACTTTAAACCAGCGCTACGTGAGTGTGTTGATTTCAGAATCAAGTATGTCAGAATTGTTTGGAAGGATGTAATAGATGCTCTATGGGTTTCGCAATGCTATGAAGTGCGGGATCGTAATAGAAATAAGTGATTCACCCGATCAGCGGACCCTGGCATAGAGGATGTTACTCAGCACAGTGTATGCTGTGTATAGGTTTCAAGGTATCTATATCGTTACCTGCAATTCGGACAGGTGATTATATTGTGAAGCATGATTTATTTGAAACTGTATATTCACCAACGGCAAATTTTCGTTGTTGACAGATGAAGTCAGTACCCTGCCTACAACTACGTCATCACCAAATCACGCGCCTCATCAATACGGAAATCACGTGGCTCGCAGCTACGACAGCAACCTCGGTACCTCATACGGCAATCACGTGAGCGGAGGCCATGGTAATCACGTGAGTGGTGGCTATGGCAACCACTACAGCAGTAACCACGACACCGAGGCTGGTATAAATTATGGCGGCCCAGCGGGAGGGCGCAGAGGCTATAAAAACTATATGCCCGTGGATAACACAACGGCAGGAACGGAAAACCAGGCTTATGCGTTTGATACTCACCCCCGGCGGATACCACCCCCACCCCCAGCACGTACCGCACACATGGTGGAACCAGTGAACGAGGAAATCCTCCTTGATGACGTTAGGGTGGATCATTACCCAGGGCGACAGGCTTGAGGGGTGCTGTGTAGCCCTCCACCCGGTAACAGGCCTAGAGGGGTCCGAGTACAAAACCAAGAAGACAGGCTTCAGAATTTCAGGGTTCATACTCTCTCGGAAAGGTTTGTGTAACGGATTGCTACCAGTATTAAAGCGATAGTGTGGAACCCGTGACAAGGCATTGAGAAGAACAGGAAGGCGCATTAAGGCAGTTTTAAAGGGTCTGTACGGATCCCTACCCGCGACGATGTTTCTTAGGAGACCGTAGTATATCAATTATAACTTCCAAGTGCTCAGTGAAATTGGAATCTTTTTACCAGTCAGAACAATATATGTATCCCAGCTGTGCAATGCCATGAACTGTGGAACTGAGCCACCATGTTGTATTCTGACGCTGCGGTGGGTCAACGACACGTAACATAAACGGACACTCCTTAAGATCAATCACTAGAGCATAAAGATGTAACAATAAGGTGTACATACTTAGTATATCACATGCGACGTTGTCACCAAGTCTTGTAAAGTCACCAAGTCTTGTAACGTCGCCAAGTCTTGTAAAGTCACCAAGTCTTGTAAAGTCACCAAGTCTTGTAAAGTCACCAAGTCTTGTAAAGTCGCGAGTCGTTTTGCACAGAACATGAGCTCGTAGTCCAAGTCAGACAAAGATTAGATTAATTAATGGTAGTGACATTTGAATCCTGTGGAAACTGTATGCTGTAACTTTGACTTTATGCCATTGTTTTGTTGTACAGAGCATCACGATATATGCATTGTCCACATCCTGGTTGAAAGAATACACTCTCTCAGACCGATGTGCTCGTCACAAGGATATGTATAACCAGAGACTATAGATTAAGATATGGTCTCTGGTATAACTGACACGTAATGAGTCTTGGATGCTGGTTCATCATGGCCCTCCTTTACAGTTGCCGGACAACACACGGGGTCAATACTGCATGTTATTTTACCTTAGGCCTTCTCGGATTCTGTAGTTGCTAGGCAATGACAAACAAACTCTCGAATGCTTTTCGTGTGTGCGAACCAATATGATACAGCGCACAACCAACTTGTCTATCGTTTCAGTCGGTGATAGGCGAATGAAAAGTACGAAATTAAAGAAGTGTGTTTTGTAGTTACCATCCTCAATTTCCTTGGGATGTTTTGAGGATTTTACTTAAAGGAGAATACGTGCGAAAACAAAACTTTTGATATCGGTAAGGCATTCTAAAAGTCACAATAAAAAAAGTTTATAAAATCGCAATAAAAACACAAAAAATGTACACGTATTTCCGCCTATTACGGAAACACCCGACAGTTATTGAGCAGAGGGGGTATCACGTGATATGACGTCATATGTGGCTGTTGCTGATGACTTCCTCTTTGATTTTACCTCACAACGTACGTTTCCATGGATTCTGAACAGTAAAAGATGTTCCTGGTGTCATTTCTGAAATGGATGTTAGACCGTATCAATACGATCCGATTTTACATCTTGCAAGACAATCTTCCAGTATTCTCCTTTAATACATGTGATATGATGTTTCCTGGAACATCGATCAGAGAGAAACTTTCATTGAACATGCACCTGCTAGAAAAGTACACCTAGTAAACCAAGTCACCAATAGTTACATTATTTATGTCAAACCCTTACTCCCCTACCGCTTCAAAAAATATTTTGTTCAAATTACTGTAGATATATTATGTCGTGACAGGCCAGAGTAACTATTTAAATAAAAGAATCGGGTGTTCCCTAACCTCTTTGACTAGTATATTGAAATCTGGAAAAGGGGCACTGGTCGTTAGCTTCATTAGCGCCGAGTAGCCTCTGTGGCCCAATTTCAGTCGTTTATGGAATAACCATTAAGGCAGGGATGGGAGCGGTTTGTTCGAAAACAGATGTCGAAACGCGTCCAAAAAGCTTTGCAAACTGAAGCAGTCATAAAATGTGAGTATAGGGTCGCTGGTCATCGTCATGGCTTTAACAAACTGACGGAGCTCTTGTACATATATGTATATAGAAACATTGCTATCACCTTTTGTTGTCTCATCAATTGTCTTCAGCATATCCCTGTTTATCAATGCTGTGATAAATGTATGTGGTCAAGTCATGTGCTGAAGTAAGGTATATTTCAAATGTATTAGAAGGCTGAGGTATTGACTATGTTCATGAGGAGTATTTATGAACAAGACGTTCCATACACTCAATTCAATTCAATTCTTTATTGTATGAAAGGCCATAGGCCCATATACAAAAGAGATACATAACTAAACAATTCTTTCCTCTACAGCAATACATTGTAAATAAATAGGGCTACTTTGTGTTTTGGAGATTCTTTGCAGGAAAGTAAGGATGACAATAGTTTAACATTGATTTGAGATAAAGACAGTTGCGGTAGATACATATTTCTTAGATTTTCATATACAGGACAAACAAACATAAAATGGAATTCATCTTCAATAATGTAACAGAATGGGCATTATCTTTGGTTTTTTCGATAGAAAAATATCTTCCACGGTTAATTAAAAAATCATGAAAGCCTAATCTAAAACGTTTAGAAGCATTGCAAACATTTCTGTAGCGGAAGTGAGCAAGATAAGACTGTGTCTCAAGCAACGACTTAAATTGACAATATGAATCATATCTAGAACTTTCATTAATAGTTGAATGCCATTCCTGTTTAAACACTATGTGCCTATAGAAAACAGCTACCACGAATTACAAAGTGTTTTAGGTCATCAATGTTGGGTTACTTCCCTGGTCACATATACACACTCGGTTGTTCTCACAACTTAAGTCGAAGGTATTTTTCAAGACGTTTAAGTCTGAAGTTGAATGCATATACGGATATGACTGAATATTATCAAAACGTTGTACGCGCAGAAATGTCTACTGTCTCAATCATCAGTATTCTACGTAATATGCTTTATTATAAAAACTGTTCATGCTGTTGACCACTGGTTTGTCTGGTCGGGACTGATAATTTACAGAACGCCGCCATATATCTGGAATATTGCTGAGTGCGGCGTAAAACTAAACTCACTCACTCATTGTTATAGAAACACGTTCATTTATGAATGATGACAACTTCTCATATCTGTTCTTTTTTTGCTTGATTAAATTATTTGTGAAACATATTGAGCCGGGGATGAAATGAATCTCAGCGAATTACTGGCACAAACAAACTAAACAGGTGGTTGATAATATGAGCATCCGTCTACTCTTGGTATCCACTTGTAAGTTCTGTGTGTATCATGTTGGCGTTCCTCAGTACCAGTTCCAGAGATTTTCGTGGTACAACCAGCATACTAGTGAGTGAGTTGAGTTTTACGCCGCTTTTAGCAATATTCCAGCAACATCGCGGCGGGGGACACCAGAAATGGGCTTCCCATCATACCCTTGTGGGGATTCGAACCCGGGCCTTAGGCGTGAAGAGAGAACGCTTTAACCACTAGGCTACCCCACCAGTATATTAAAGCTGTATACTCTGTGACGACACATTGTGAGGCCATATATCGTAAATTCCATGTATTTGATGTGTACTGCATTGACATTATAACATGCATGTAAAGTCATATGTCACCATTTGTCATAATAAAACATGCTTTTCATTACTGCCGTTTAGTGTATATTTTGTTACTCCCGATTACTCGACATTGTTGTCTGTACATACACCTGGGGTTTGGTCAATTTCAATTTCCTGATCCCAGGAAAATGTGCCTTATCTTCTACTGTCGACAGAACTACATGTATTCAGTCTACAGGTGTATTGGACCAGAAGAAACGGAAAATTTGGGCACAACTAAATATTTACATGAAGTCATCCGTGGTATCCATGTATTCTCAAGGGCGGGAAGCACGTGCAGCTTAGGATGTCAGTGCTTAGGGGGCGTATCAAAACTCTTCCGGACTGGAATCTGAGGAAATTCCAGATTCACTTTCTCTATTCTCAGATTGTACACTGCCCAACTGTGATGATTTCTGCCATTATTTTGGACACGTTTAGCAAGCGATCATTATTTTGTTGTTACTTTTCGCTATTGTTTTTGGTTTTTTTGTTGTTGTTTTTTGTTTTGTTTTGTTTTGTTTTGTTTTTGTTTTTTTTTGGGGGGGGCACTTGCTGGAAGGACAGCCAGGTAATCAACAAACGTCTGTAGTTAAATTTCAATTTCATACGTGCAACTCGCACACCTGGCTCTTCTACCAGATACTGCTCCCCCTTGTTAAAGTCAGCGTATGGTGACGACAATATAATGATCGTTTGTTAAGCAATTGTTTCATTCGGGCGTCCAAAATTATGAGACAAAATTAGAGTTGGTCTGTCGATTTCATGTGACTGTGCAAAATTTGGTTTTGTTGCAATTATTAGATTTTGTTTTAGTTAGCAATTCATTGGTCTCAACTGACATCAAACGGACTGTAGTCTAAACCACTTTTTATCAAGTACTGATTCTCTATTTCATTTCAACTGTCTGTGCACAGTTTGTCAGATTGCTGGTGTTATTTCAATTATGGCTTTGTCTACTTCGTTTTGAACGTCCGAATGTTTGAACGGGGTATTGTTGCGACCCACATCAGATTTTATGATACCCCAGATAAGTTCTATTGGATTGAGATCGCAATGGTTAGACGGTAAACGTAAAGTTTCATGGCCATGAGCCGTTGAGACGTTGATGTATATGTACCTTATAGGTTGGTGTTGTTTTGTTGCGCTTTATTATGTCATACAAACAGGTCTAGTTGCTTTTGATGGAATATCTGGTTTTTCTAGACATGCTACCATATGACTTTTCCTACTGTGGGATGTTGGAGCTTTTGCATTTCGATGCTGCACTCTATGATATGGTGCCTTGTCAATGACAATCCGAAGTGCTGGTACCAGCTGTTTTTTCACCCAATTTAAGAAAACTTCCCCATTTATTTCATTTTGGTAATCTCTGTTATCTTTGGATTTCGCCTTGAACACGAGTGAACAATCACGCAGAACAGCCAGGTAATCAACAAGCGTGTGTAGTGAAATCATGATGAAGAAACATGTCAAAATCAATCACAAGGTTTTAACTTCAAGGGGCCCAATTAGGGTTGCAATACATTGTGGACAGTAATTCAATTACTTGCCAATTGATTACAAAAAGCACATTATTCACAACTTTCTTTGCAAACATAAACTATAGGTCAATTTTACAACATGTACTTATGATAACCAATCATGTCCCACGAAAAATCACAGGGGGCCCATTTTAGGTCTAATTACATTTTGGGCACAGCTTGATTTTATCAAGTAAGTGTTAAAAGTCAGTATTCACAACCGGTTTTAGCAAATATACAGTGAACATCTCATTCACAACATGTTATTACAATAACCAATCATGTTGCACTAAAAAGCACAGGTCTTGACCTCAGAGGGGCCTATTTCAGGTGAAATTACATTATTGGCACAGCTTGATTTAACACCATGTAAGTGTTAAAAGTCAGTATTTACAACCGGTTTTAGCAAATATACAGTAAACATCTCGTATGATGTCTTTCAGTGGCATTTAGAAGTTGTACATTGATGTCCAAGATATTTTTATGGATTTTATGGATGGAAACAGGCATATTGTCTTGGTGTCTGCCATACCCAGATCTTCTCTCAACTGAAAAACAGATGACTTTATATCAAAAGAAAATCCTGTATTAAAACTTTGATATTATAAATCTATTCATGGGTAACATTACTTATTTATTTCAAATGTCAGTAGTCTGGCCTTGAAGGCTTATGCAGATTTAATCACCACTGAGACATCGGTATTTCTGAAATTCTGTCACATTAAATAAGAAAATTGAAGAAAAAAATATTGGTTATTTTTTAGCACTCACATTATTCTTACCTTCCACCTCAAGTTTTAAGTTGTCATCTTCATGAAATGACACTCCTGAAATCAGTCCAAGCTAATTTCTCTTATCTGAAAACAAATATTTGAAATCATAAAAGAATTATCATTATGTTCAAGAAATTGGTGCTTTGTAATTTTCTAATGCTAAACATGTCAATAGGATAGTTATTAGGGAGGGAATTGACCTCCAAAGCATCATCAATTGTTGAGGCCACTTTTGATCAATTATAGATATAAGATAAAAAACAACTGTTAGAGCACATGAAAACAAAGGTAATCAGTCCTCAGTTTTAATATGACAATTGAAACCAATAGTCATTGATTCTGTAAACATATTTTTAAGAAGAAATAGTGAACGCTTTAATTGATTATGTGATTTGGTTATCGGTAATTGACTGGCAGCCCACAAAATATCAATAAACTAATTATTTGTGTGATCAGTGCACCACTAATTAACAGCTCTGGACAGTTTGTAAATATTTACTTAAAGAAATTACCATACTAACATTTTGAAACAATGCTTACCTTCTACAGGTTCTTTATTGTGTGGGGACAAAGTGGAAAAGTCAGTGTCTTCAAGGTTAAACAAGATTTACATGATGTTAATTCAAGTTTGTTTGAACAGTGTAACTTACATTACCCAACTTAGGAAAAGAAAAAAAAAAAAAATTATTTCATGTGCACAAGTTTTGTCAGCCAATTTACAATGTTTAACTTAACTTTTGAAGAAAAAAAAAAGAAGAAAAGAAATAAACAATTAGGATTTGAACCTGAATGTCTGATAACAGAAAAAAAATTGTGAAGCCATCACTGTAACCACTAGGCTACAGATTCTACTGTTATTATCTGTCACTTTAAGCTTATATATACACTTTGCAACAATGTGTCACTTGACGTCTGCTTGCTTTTCATAATCTGCTAGACCTTGATACAATGTTCTTATTCTAACAATATTAAATGTAGCCTGACATATCCTAGAAAACATCAAGGTACATTATTTTTGTTAAAATGTGTATATTTATACACTGTTACATCCAGTGGAATGCCAGTGTTATTTGACAGTGACAGGTGACACAGAGGGGTTTGCTAAACAGATGATAGAACAAATATGATAAAATTCTAGCATAATTACACAGATTCTCACCTTTAGAATGCTGCCTGATCATATTTTGAAAAATCTTCTGATGTCTTCTTATTTTTCCAGCAGTGATCAACAGGGTCTCCAAAAAACTACCCTTGTTTACCTCAAAGTAATCAGCCTTGACAGTCCCTTACGATATTGAAATGTTTTAATAAACATGTTTGATAAGTTCATTTTAGTGCTCTAAAACATTCAAAATAGTAATGAATCATGGTATAGTTGTGTAAATGTGACGGATAGTTTTCAGAGATATTATTTTACGCCAATGTTGATTTTTGAGATGTTGTATGGGGCAATTTCATACAACAGAAAAAACATACTTTTTTAAACATTTTGACATGAGCAAAAGCGTGACCCACCACAATTTTTTAGGAGTGCATTCTAATTTACTCTCTTCATGTGTGGTGAAAAATTGGGATGGGTCAAGCTTTTGCTCACTTCTTTTTATCACTCTGAAAATATGAAAATGCAGGTTTTCGAAGATATTGTAAAATAGGTTAACTTTCAAGTTCTCACATGCAAAGCGCACACCATGGCTGTTCTACCAGCAAGTGGTCCCATGAAATTTCCTTTCCTTTCAAGTTCTCAAATAGCGAAAAGTCCCGACAACAAATTAATGATCGTTTGTTAGAAAACTTTTTATTCGGGTGTCCAAAATTATGAGACAAATCATCAGAGTTGGTCTGTCGATATCATGTGACTGTGCAAAATTTGGTTTTGTTGCACTTATTAGATTTTGTATTTGTAAGCAATTCATCGATTTCAAATGAAATCAAACGGACTTACCTGCATAGATTATCTTTCACTCCATCAAAGTATATTAGTAACATGTGAATATGGTTGAGTTTAGTTTTACGACGCCGTTAGCAATATTCCATCAATATCGGCGGTGTCACAAGATATGGGCTTCACAACAGATATATGTATAGCTGGACTGGAATCTTTAGAATTTTAATACCTGTTTTTCTATTTTTCTAACTTTGCTCTCATTCTGTCTGCATAATACATAAAACGAGAAAGATTGGTAAATGTTTTCAGTCTTGTTTTGTTTGGGGATATTGCTAAAAGATCTTATCATATTGACTTGTATATCTGGGGCTTGGTCATATATCTGGGGCATGGTCAGTTTCAGTAATGGGTACTAATGCTTATCTCAACACGGATCCAGGTAAACTGTGTCTTATCTCCTACTGTCGACACGACTACATGTATTCAGTCCCACGTGCTATGGACCACAAGAGTGAGTGAATTAATATTTAACGTCACATCAGCCATATGGAGACAAGGAGCACAAGAAACGCAACATTTGGGTAAAACATAAAGTCATCCGTAGTGTTCATGTATCCATGTGTCCATCCCCATCCCCAATAATTAAGAGTGAGTGAGTTGGGTTTTCCGCCGCTTTTAGCAATATTCCAACAATATCACGACGGGGGACACGAGAAATGGGCTTCACATATTGTGCCCATGTGGGGAATCGAACCCGGGTCTTTAGCGTGACGAGCGGACGTTTTAACCATCAGGCTACACCACCGCCCCCAACAATTAAGAGAAAGGGCGGCCGAAAAAACAAACAAACGTATTTTACTAATTGTGTCACTATTATGTGTTATACATTTAGATCACTTAGTGATAGTCTTTGAAACAATTATATAAAATAAATGAAAAGGATCAAGTTGACCCGTTCATTTCAAGAATGTGCATGGGTTAGAATATTTCTATAGATCTGATCATTTTTTCCACAGCCGCGGACGAACCAGGGGATTTTAATGGTACTGAGGCGCATCATAACTTGGCGATCCGTGTCCCATTTCCGATGCAGAAAGAGAACGGAAGGTTGTGGGTTCGATCCCCGACCGCGTCATACCAAAATACGTTAAAATATGGTACTTGTTGCTCCCTGCCTGGCGCTCGGCATTTATGGGTACAACAAGGACTGGTCGGCTCGGAGTCAGCACACTATGTCTCAACTGGGTATTCATGCTTCACTGCGGCATGGTATCTGAGTGAGCTAGCACTATAAAACCAGCTTAAGTCTGGGCTAGTACAAGCAGCCGCACATGCACATACACACGCATGCACGTCGTCATATGAGCGAAATATTCTCAAGTAAGACGTTAAATCCCATACCACCTCACCTCACCGCTCTCCGGCTGGGTGTTCAAGCCACCACACCTTGAAGACAGTATAATACATTCAGGGTAAAACGTGGTGGTCTGTACGTTTTTATTTACGTAAGCAGCAAAGAGATACCTTGGAACACAATCTTTCAGGTCGCATTTGGGAGCTAAGGGACCGTTCATAAGTTATGGCTAGGAGGGGGGTGGGGGTGGGGTGATGGGTGGTGATGATGATTTTTACGGAGAAGCATGTACAATGTGAATGACCTCCCTAAAATGTACAAATTAAGTGACCCCCTTGCATGTCATGTACAAAGTCAATGACCTCCCTCCCCCTTTCCATATTTTTAATAATTTAAAAATATTTTTATGTACAAAATTGCTTTCCCCTAGAAACATGTGTTCAAAATTGATGACCCCCTACCTCCCTAGAACAATATGGGTGACCCCCTCATCATCACCCCCCTAGCCATAAATTATGAACGGTCCCTAATCTTGAGTTCTCGTTCACCTTTCTTTCGGTTTTTTAAATCGGCAAATAAAACACTAGGCAAATGACAAGGTCAGAAGTTCAAGACAGATAACGTCTAAACTATGGTACCGTTGATAGGAAAGAAATCAATAAGAATGGGTTTCTTGGTCGTGAGAAAAATATTGAAATCCGTACCATGGTCACTTGGTCACAATGCAAAGGATAAGAAACACGTGATATTGACTCTGTACTGAGGTATATATATGGCTGTGAGACTTCAACAGCATTCTAAGAAACATGAAGGTCGCTATCCTCTTCGTCTTCGCAGCCCTCCTGGTGGCCTCCCGTAAGTAGAGTCTCGTTACATTCACTCCACAGAACCATGTGTCCTTTTATAAGCCTTCTAAATATATGTTGGATATTTTTACAATTTTCCTCCAAATGTTTTACGTCTATATGCATTGGAAATAGAATGTCAAGCGGCTACTTCTCGGGACCAAAAGCCAGATAGTACAGTATGAAAAAACGTAAATACAGTATGAAATACATGCTATGACTGGATTTGCATACGTTTCCTAACTTTGAGATATTTCCTAACTTTGGTACTGTTTTATATGCCGCTGCTCATTTGAAACATTTGCGCATCGTATCTTGCCGTATGCACAAGCACCTTTTCCATGTATGCTATGACCGGATTTCCGGTCATTTTCAAGGATGAATTCAAAACTTTACTTGGGTTGGAAATATGTATCTATCCTCAGGTCGGGAAACAGGTCTTTTTTACAAAAATAAGTCTTAAAATCTGCGATCCGTGAAGATCCGGGTCAGAATTGGTCTTCAGTCACCCATGCTTGTCATAAAAGGCGACTAACGGGATTGGATGGTTGGGTTCGCAGGCTTGGTTGACATAACATGTCATCGTACTCCAACTGTGTAGATCGATGCTCATGCTGTTGATCTCTGTATTGTCTGGTCCAGACTCGATTATTTACAGACAACCGCCATATAGCTGGAATATTGTTCAGAGCGGCGTTAAACAACAATCAATCAATAAATAACAATCAATTCCCTTTTATCTCATTGACAGAGGCAGCCCACGAAGTCTGTGGCACAGGCTGTGTCGCTGCTGGCGCTAACGAAATCACCTTCTGTCAGAATCTCTGTACCAGCTGTGCTGGACACGTCCATTGTAACAAACACAATGATGAGTGCGAGTGTCACGGAAATGACCATACTCACATGGTACTTACACTTTTCTAGTCCGTATTTAGGGCTGTAAATACAGACAAAGTACATATTCCGCGTGTGAGTTGGATTTTAACGCCGTTTTAACAGTGTTCCAGTTGTATCACGGTGTATCAGTTTCATGTTGTGTGACTTTAAATCTTAACTCACTCACTCACTCACTCACCAGTTTCATGTTGGTTAACCCCAGACTGATGAAGGTCAGTATTCCAGAAGAAATGGGCTTCACATTGTACCTTTATGGGCAATCGAACCCTGGTCATCTGCCCGGGGAGGGACGCTTTAACAATTGGGCTATTCCATTGCCCGGCCATGGTGCTGACAAATCTAGAAAGAACGAGCCAGGGTGTTTTAATGGCACTGAGACCCAACTTAACTGTTGCGATGAAGAAGCTACTGGCTGAAGGTCAGTCCATATTTTAGGCTGCAATGACCTCAGTCCAGCTGTATCATGGTGCATCTGTTTCATGCGGGGGAAAGAACAGAGTGAGGCAGGTCTTAGAGTGAGTGAATGAGTCTGGTTTTACGCCGCCTTCAGCAATATTCCAGCAATATCTTGGCGGGGAAGTCGGGGGACACCAGAAATCGGATTCACACATTGTACCCATGTGGGTAATCGAACCCTGCTCTTAAGCGTGACAAGCGGACGCTGTAACCATTAGTCTACCAAAGACGGACGTGTATTGCTTCACTGCGTGGATGAGAGTGAGTCTGTTGGAAGTACACAATTGATAACGTTTTTAGTTTGATCGATATGATGGCTGAAACATTTCTTTACTCAGACATATGGGATAGGTAGTCACGTATGCTTGAATATAATTACATCACATATTATACTTTGAATATGTGAGTGAGTTTAACTTTGCGCGGCACTCAGCAATATTCCAGCTATATGGCGGCGGTTTGTAAATAAGCGAGTTTGGAACATTGATCCAGGGATCACCAGCATGAGCATCGATCTATGCATTTGGGATACGATGACATGTGTCCACCACGTCAGCCCGATCACCCGATCCCGTTTGTGGCCTCTTACGACAAACATGGGTTAGTGAACATCAATTCAAACCCGGATCTTCACGGGTCGATTTTGTATATGTATTGGCATTGTGTGTGTTTATGCATATTCATGAATATATTTACTTGATTATTTAATTTAGAAATGTTTATTTTTTGCAGCCTTGAAAAACTTCAACACGGAGAAGGGGGTTACAAGTCATATATTGTGTAATTAAATAAAAGTATTGGAAACAATGTTTGATTATTTTCTGTGTTAATTGTGATATTCACTTGTAAGGATACACATACATGCTTGAGAAATGAACTGGTATCCCGTCTCTTGGAATCGTATTTCTGTTGCATCGTGGCGTGTTTACGAAATGTAGAAGCTGTTAAATAAAGCCGAAAATGATGCAGGTTGTAAACCTTTAACCAGTGATTGGTAAAACCCTCCAAGACAGGTTCAGAGCTGACAAATCGAGAATCGTTATCAGTGTGAATAAGAGTCCCGATCCACAAAGCATTGTCACAATCCACAATGACCTGTCGTGACTCTCGAGTTTATCGTACAGTTTATCGTAGCGCTACGAACGCCTTGTGGATCTGGACCCTGGTATTTACGACTCGTGAAGATCCGGCTCAGAATTGATCTTTAGTAACCCATGCTTGTCTTAAGAGGCGAATAACGGGATCGGGTGGTCAGGCTCGGAGACTTGGTTGACACGTGTCATCGTGTTCCAATTGTGGTCGAGGCTCATGCTGTTGATCACTGGATTGTCTGATCCAGACTCGATTTACAGCCCGTCGCCTAATGGATAGAATATTGTTGAGTGTGGCGTTAAACCTCAACCAACCAACCAACTGGTATTTAACCTATGATCAAAGGTTGCCAAGGGAAACAAATCTTTAAGGGTTCGACACCTCTCGACCACCAACGTTTCTTAAAAATGAAAACGATCCGAAGACCACGTTCAAACAAGCGATCAGTACCGCCAAATCTCATTCCCGCCTTACAAAACGTACGGAAAATTGTTGGCCTCATGTTTTTCTGTCGTTTACAGGCGCACTTAGGAAATGTCTATCGGATGTCTATCGGATCAGACAATCCGGTAGAATGTGTGTGTGCAGGAGTGAGCACACACACACACACACACACACACACACACACACACACACACACACACACACACACACACACAACACCCCACCCCCACCCCTTTTGTCCTGAAAGTTCAATGACCATTGAAACTCGGCTGAAAATGAAGTGTGCACCCACCCACCCCATCCCCTTTCTCAAAATCTGCATCTGCCCTGACAGGAGCCAACGCACCTCTGTGTGTAGAGGTGTCACGTTAACCGTGCCAAGATGCATTTCTTGGCATTTTGAATCACATATTCTCAATACGTATGGTTCACATATTCTCAATACGTATGGTCGTACTAGTGTTTCATTACAATGTGTTTCACCATATTGTATTGTCACCACTGTTATGATTGCAAATGTAAGATTGAGCTTGTCCACAAAAGGCTGGATTATTACTCTGGGTAGGATATAATTTTATATTTAAAAGGTTTACATATTTAAATCAAGGGATCACAAGTTAAATGTGGTTGACGTTGTTTGTTAGATAAGTTGGTATTAATGTGTGTTGTGTTACGTTAGTGAAAAAGACCTTTGGTACTCACAAACGATGAGGAATTATAATGTTTTGAAATATGTCAAAACTTCAAAGCCAGAAAATAAATTAGTCTGGCACAATTTGTGCAAAAAAATTTAAACAAATAACACACAACAGATTTCAACTATTAACAATATTAATATTTCGCCTATTAACAATATTCGAAGGTTTTCCGATTTTCATATCTGAACTTCTAAGACGCCCAAAATGTACTTTTCATAATTTGTACTTTTGAGAAAGAATATTATTCCTGACTTTTTATTCCCAGGCATTGACATCTTGAAATATTAATTATGGATGCTATCATACCAGTTATTGAAAAAGCATTTACCAGTAGTAACCAAGAGGACAGCGAAAACGAGGAGAATAACGATCATCATCCTGCAGCCGTTGATGTCAATGTTTCAGATCAAGTATGTCAGTATAATACTGTGCGTCGCTATTATATATGTCCTTTGCGTTCGTTGGTTCCTGATGACAGACATTGTGTCAAGGGGGGTATTCAACATTAAACCGAAATTACACAGTGAGAGAGAGAGAGAAGGGGAGAGAGACGCACAGAGAAAGAGAGAGAGACACACGTATATAAAATGTGTGGATATGTGTGTGTGCGTGTGTGTGTTTGTCTAATAAACATGAACGCAACACTATACCTCATCTCATCTCCCCTCAAACCATTTTTTACAAGACATAATGAAGCCCTTTGTCATTTCTGATAGTACACTCGCAAATGTGTCATTTTCTTCGTCATTTAACTGTCATATTTGTAATTACAGGTGAAACAGGATGTGGAAAACACAGAAAATACATAACTTTTATCGATTTCTTTCTTGCCCATATGACTGCTGTATTTGTCTCGTATCCATCTGACCAAACGTGTCCATATGATCCCAGGATTTGTATATGCTGAGCCCCGGAAAGGGAGACAACAAGTGCCATCTCTTAACGTCTTTTGGTTTGACTTCCGCTCTTCGAGCAGGTGTCCTATCCACCACAGCACGTTGGCAGTCTAATATCATAAGTGTAAAACGTTATGTTACGTACGTAGTCAAGGGATACCTTGGATCACAATCGTTCAGGTCGCAAATGGGAGCTTATCTTGAATTCTCGTTTCTACTTTTCGTTTGGGTTGGAAAACCTTTTTTAAATAACACGCCAGACAATTGATAAGGCTAAGAGTCAGAAGTGCGAGATAACGTCTAAACTATGGTGCAGTTGATTGGCTAAGAATTAAAAAAAATGGGTTTCTTGGTCGTGAGATAAAAATAAAATAAAACCCATACCATAGTCACTGAACAATACAAAAGATAAGAAACACGTGATATTGACTCTGTACTGAGGTATATATATGGCTGTGAGACTTAAACAGCATTCTAAGAAACATGAAGTTCGCTATCCTCCTCGTCTTCGCAGCCCTCCTGGTGGCCTCCCGTAAGTAGAGTTTCCTTGCATTTACCCCACAGAACAATGTGTCCTGTTATAACCCTTCTAATTATGTGTTGGATAGTTTTTACAATTTTCCTCCAAGTTTCAAAGATTATTTTGGAACTAGAGTGACAAGCGGCTATGTCACGTGACCCAGAACCGGATACTACGCAATTGAAATAAACGTAAATACAGTAGGAAATGCATGCTATGACTTCTTTGAAAGGCATTCTAGAAGTTGGGTAGATGAAGAATGAGGACTATTTTATGGATATACAACTGTTTTATTCTATATAGAATAAAGAAGGTGTATATCCAGACAAAATAGTCCTCATTCTTCTTCTCCAATGCATGCTATGACCGGATTTGCGACGTTTCCCAATATTACCTGACTTTGGTAGTTATTTCATATGAAGCTGTATCACTGAAACATTTGCTCATCGTATATTGCCGTATGCACATTGACCTGTTGATGTATGCTAAAACCGGATTTGCAGACATTCACAAGCATGAATTCAAAAGTGATGATGATAGAGTATGTCCAATTCATTCCTTTCATTTGTAATGCGTGCTGATATTTCCGAAGTCTATCTGAGTTATAAACATTGGATATTTCCCCAAGGGGGGAAACATTTGTTTTCAACAATGTGAATTTTCAAGTCAGAATTGGTCTTCAGCGACCTATGCTTGTCGTGAAAGGTGACTAACGGGATCGGATGGTAGGGTTCGCTGGCTTGGTTGACACATGTCATCGGTTCCCAATTGCGTAGATCGATACTCATGCTGTTGACCACTGGATTTTCTGGTCCACCCTCGATTATTTACAGCCCGCCGCCATATAGCTGGAACATTGCTGAGTGCGGCGTTAAACAACAATCAATAAAATCTGCGTTGACCCATTTATCTCATTGACAGAGGCAGCCCACGAAGTCTGTGGCACAGGCTGTGTCGCTGCTGGCGCTAACGAAATCACCTTCTGCCAGAACCTCTGCACCAGCTGTGCTGGACACGTCCATTGTAACAAACACAATGATGAGTGCGAGTGTCACGGAAATGACCATACTCACAAGGCACGTACATTTTTCTAGTCCGTATTTGAGGCTGAAAATATAGTCCATGTTCCGCAAGTGAATTTGACGCCGTTTTAACAATTGTATCCCAGTCGTATCATGGTGTATCAATTTTACGCGGGGAAAAGGTTTCAGTGTGAGTAAGTGAGTGAGCATGCTTATACACCGGTCTTTGCAATATCCCAGCAATATAACGCAGGGGACGCAAGAAAAGGGGTTGACACATTGTACCGATGTGGAGAATCGAAACCTGGTCTCTAGGCCACTTCACTGCTCTGCAGGTTGTAGATATATGCTACTTTGGTGAAACCTGAGAGCACAGGTATGATGCTGACAAATCTAATGAGGATATATCCGTCTTTTGTAGCCATTTCTTTTCCATACTATCTATACATCCATCAAGCAGTTTCTTCATCGGAGGTGAGGTGAGGTGAGGTGAAATTGGGTTTAACGTCGTGCATGAGAATATTTCGCTCATATGACGACGTGCATGCGTGTGTATGTGTATGTGCGGCTGCTTGTACTAGCCCAGACTGAAGCTGGTTTTAAAGTGCTAGCCCACTGAGATACCATGCCGCAGTGAAGCATGAATACCCCCCCTCAGACACATTATACTGACTCCGAGCCGACCAGTCCTTGTTGTACCCATTAATGCCGAGCGCCAGTCAGGGAGCAACAAGTACAATATTTTAACGTCTTTTTGGTATGACGCGGTCGGGGATCGAACCCGCGACCTTCCGCTCTCCTTCTTCATCGGAAACCGGACACGGATCGCCAAGTCATGATGCGCCTCAGTGTCATTAAGAAACCCTGGTTCGTCTTTATCTGATATATGGCATACGTAATCTCATATTCCGGAATATAATTACAGGATGTGCTATGTTTGGGATTATGTGTATTCGCATTGTGTATGTATTGATTATTTAATTGAAAACTGACCAGATGTTTATTTGTTGCAGCCTTGAAAAAAGCTTCAACACGGTGAAGGTTATTACAAGTCATACATTATGTGAATAAATAAAACTGTTAGTGAGAATGCTTGATTGTTTTCTTTGTTAATTGTGGCATTCACTTGTATTGATACATATATGCTTGAGAAGAGAACTGGTTTTACTTCTCGTGGAATCATATTATAAATGTTGCATCATTATGATGTCTTAATGGGGATGCTGTCAAGGAACACCCAAGGTGATGCAGGCCGTACTCCTTTAACGCGGGAGTAGTTAAACCCAATGCATGGTGGTTATCAGTGCGAAGCTGGCATTTGACCTACGATCAAAGGATTCTGGCACACCCAAGGGACACAACTCTGGGGGTATTTTAGTCTGATGTTAAATAAAGCCGACAGTGATGCAGGTAAAAGACCTTTATCCAGTGATTGCTAATACCCTCCAAGACAGGTACAGTGCTGACAATCGAAAATCGTCATCAGTGAGAATCTGGTATTTAAGACCCATAATTGATCTTCAGCAACTCATGTTTGTCGTAAGAGGCTACTAACGGGATCGGGTGGTCAGGTTCGCTGATTTGGTTGACACGTGTCATCGTATTCCAATTGCATAGATCGATGCTCATGCTGTTGATCACCGGATTGTCTGGTCCGCCCACCGGACCATATAGCTGGAATATTGCTGAGTGTGGCGTTAAACCTCAACCAACCAGCCAACTGGTATTTAACCTACGATCAAAGGTTGCCAAGGGAAACAACTCTTCAAGGGTTCGACACCTCTCCACCAGCAATGTTTGTTAAAACTGAAAATGATCCAAAGACCACGTTCAAACAAGCGATCAGTACAGCCAAATCCCATCCCCGGATTATAAAACGTACGGAAAATTGTTGGCCTTACGTTTTCTGTCGTTTACAGGCGCGCTTATCAAATCCTTGCAGTATGTCTACCAGATCAGACAATCCGGTACATTCTCAACACAATTTACAAGGTCGTCAAGCCTGACTTCCCGATCCATAAAGTCTCTTTCGACAAGCTTACGTAGTAAGCAGTAACCTGGTCTAATGTTGACCTGTTCAACCTCACGTCTTACGCATCCATACATGGTGACGTCCCTTCCGAAACCAAACTATTGTGAATTTATCATATTTTTATTTGGGTCATAAAAACGTCAGTAGCACACTTTGTGACGTTGTACCCATGTGGTGAATCGAGCCTATCACTTTGGTGTAACAAACTATCATGACCTTTCTTGTATTAACATAGCAACTTTAACATAACAAGTTTAAAGAAACAGTTTAATGTCAACAATAATTGCCAGTGAACTGATGTCAGAAGCATTCAAGCAGCAAATGTAGCTTAGTCATCACCTCGAGGGTGACATTCACACTCATCCAGATGGTGGTTGCAGTTGACGTTGCCGGTACAGTTGGTGCAAAGGTTGATGCAGAAGGAGTGACCGTCGGAGCCTGCGGAAGCACATCCTGTACCACAGGCCACCGAGGCAGCATCTGGTGTGATAAACGTTTCATTTGAACATTTGCGATATACAGTTGTTGTGGAATGGAAAATAAAACCAGGTTTTCATCATGTAAACATAACAGGGTTGAACTAAGATCCCAAACTCCATCCTTTCCGCCACCTTGTAATCGCGAATGGCGTCGAGTAGCTTTATATTGCTTATACGGCGTAAAACAATAACTACTGACACACTGACAATGTAATCCAGTTTGAAATGTGGTCAGTTACCCTTTAGGTCGTATACATCCCCGAAAACCTGTCCGTGCTCAAAACGCAAAACGGCGTCCCGGACACAAGTCAGTGACAGGACCAACGCACTTCTGTGTGTTGAGGTGCCCCGCTAACCGTGCCAAGATGCATTCTTGTGATTTTGAATCGCATATTCTCAATACGTATAGTCGTACTAGTGTTTCATTACAATGTGTTTCACCATATTCACCACTGTTATGATTGCAAATGTAAACTTGAGCTTGTCCACAGAAGGCTGGATTATTATTTTGGGTAAGACAGAATTTTATATTATAAAGGTTTATATATTTAAATCATGGGATCAGAAGTTAAATGTGGACGTTGTTTGTTAGATAAGTTGGTATTATTGTGTGTTGTGAAGACCTTTGGTTCTCACAAACGATGAGGAATTATAATGTTTTCAAAGCCAGAGAATATATTAATCTGGCACAATTTGTGCAAATATAAATCAATTAAAAAAAATTAAAAAACCACAACAGATTTCAACCATACGATCACGCCTATTAACTGTGTCCGAAAGTGTTCCGATTTTCATACCTAAACTTCTAAAACGCCCAAAATGTACTTTTCATAATTTGTACTTTTGAGAAAGAATATTATTCCTGACTTTCTATTCCCAGTCATTGACATTTTGAATTATTAGTTAGGTATACTAACATACTTATTGACAAAAGTCTTACCAGTAGCAACAAAGAAAACAGCGAATACAAGGAGAATCACGATCTTCATCCTGCAGCCGTTGATGTCAAGTGTTTCAGATCAAGTATGTCAGTATAATACTGTGCGTCGCGTTTAAATATGTCCTTTGCGCTGGTTCCCGTGCAATGTGCAAGGTTTCGCATGACGTCAAAATTATCATCAGTAAAACCTAAAGATTTTTTTGCTAAAAGATAAATTTTATGAACTACCAAAGTTCGGCAAGCCTTTCGTTCGCTGATAACATCTATGACCTGTTACAACACCGCTGTGTTATGATGGAATGTTCAATGTCATAACAAACAGTGTTTTATCAGCTTCAGAGCACAAATTCATTTTGTTTCATTAACATTGATTTAAACAATAGTTTGCTATTTGTATTTCTAATGTTTGTTTTAGCAAACTTTGCTTCTCACGTTGTTAATAGACTCTGTCTACCTGAACCGTTGGAATCGTTTAGTTGCAGAAGGGAACCCGTAATGATCGAACTGGTCAAGATTGGATTATTTACAGACCGCCGCCATATAGCTGGACTATTGCCGAGTGCAGCGTTAAACAAAAAAAAGTACAAATGGTTGTAGAGGCCTCTTCTGGCATGTTCCTTACTCCCTGAACTCTAACTCTTTCTGCGATACCTGCACCAGTTGTTCTGGGCTCATGCACCAACTCCAATTTCTGGACGATTGGTACCGGTGTGCTTCGCAAACTATCATACAAACAAGGTACGTATGGGGGTGTGAACGAGTGCCAGCAAAATGCCAAGGTGCATAAATCAATAAAAAAAAATGAAATCTGCGAAGACCCATTTATCTCATTGACAGAGGCAGCCCACGACGACTGTGGCAAAGGCTGGGTCGCTGCTGGCGCTAACTAAATCACCATTTTGTCAGAACCTCTGCACCAGCTGTGCTGGCCATTGTAACAAACACATTGGCGAGTGCCAGCGTCACGCTAATGACCATACTCACTATGCACGTAGACCGCCTCCGTGGTGTAGTGGTTAGAACGACCGCGTCATACCAAAAGACGTTAAAAAATGGTACTTATTGGTCCCTGCCTGGCGCTCGGTATTAATGGGTACAACAAGGACTGGTCGGCTCGGAGTCAGTATAATGTGTCTGAGTGGGGTATTCATGCTTCACTGTGGCATGGCATCTCAGTCGGCTAGCACTATAAAACCAGCTTAAGTCTGGGCTAGTACAAGCAGCCGCACATACAGATACACACGCATGCACGTCGTCATATGAGCGAAATATTCTCAAGCACGACGTTAAACCCAATTCCACCACCATCACTATGCACGTAACTTTTATAGTCCATATTTAGGGCTGTAAATATAGACTAAGTACATATTCCGCGAGTGAGTTGGTTTAACGCCGTTTTAACAGTATTCCAGTTGTATCATGGTGTATCAGTTTCATGTTTCCCTGTAGTGTCTAGCCACTTAACAAGTACATGCATCGTGACGTGCGGATGAGACAAACCATCGCCGACTTGGTTGACATGCCAATTGCGTATAGTAGATCCATGCTCATGCTGTTGATCACTTTACATACCACCGCCATATAGTTGGAATGTTGCTGAGAACTGAGTACAACAAACGAACAAACACCATGGTTGCAGAGGCCTTTTGTGGCAAGGTCTGTGCAGCCGTAGGTTTCTATTTCCCTAAGTACATGTATATCTCTTCCTACGATACCCGCACCAGCTGTACTGGTTGCGTGCACGATCTCCACAATCTGGACGAATGGCATACAAGATACACATGCATGTGCGGAGCAGTGCCTGCAAAATCCTTAGGTAAAAATGCACTTCTCGCAAAGGGCAAATTTGCATTTGAAAACGTGAACGCGATGTTTGATCATATGTTTCATACCAGACACTGTCTTGAGTGACAAAATGCTCTTAATACACTTCATTCACTTTTGAGATACGATCGAAGATGCTCTTTTAACCAAGATTTCAAAGAGCGTCATTCCGCTCTTGCTCAAAAGTTGTTTGATCAAGGTTACCACATTCAAGGCTTCAGTAAAGCTTTCAAAATGAATTATTGCAGCCATATGGATGAAAACGTTTCGAAATTTGATGCATCAGTGACAAAAATTATGTCCGATGCAATTCCCTATCTTGACTTGTACCATACGTTCCTGAATTATTTCATGTGACCAATTGAACTAGACTTCCCTTTGTTCCTAACGGGTTCCACCGGTGGGGCAGGATACGCTCACCTTTTCGTGAACACCTGGTATCGTCACTATTTTATTATTATAGGATATTTATATAGCGCACATGTCCAAGCAACTAGTGCTTGCTCAAGGCGCTGGTATTTTTTCCCTCTATCATTGGATCTCAATCTTAACGGCACATCATATTATCAATCTCAACTCCCTGGGGAGTATACAACTCTTGCAGCCACTAGGCGCACCGAGTTATTGTGGCGAGGTACCCATTCACAGCTGGGTGGACTGGGACACATAGTCACAGGACTTTGTCCAAGTTCACTGCACGTTGCTGTACCCGCAACTAGGTGTTTGCACGTATTCATGTGGCCACCATCTGGTCATATATCAACGGATTCGTGGGTTCTATTAAGTGCACAGGGTTGTGTACTGTACACTAGGGGTTGTGACAACACTGAAAGAGTCTGCACACAAAGTTGACTCCAAGGTTTTACACCCGGTCACAGGTGGGCTCGATCCCAACACCTCAACCTCGCTGGATCACTAGCCTGGCGCCTTAGCCAGCTCACCCACCGCGAGTGATTCATACGCACATGCTCTGTCATCGTATCGCATGGTGACAATCACTGGATTGTCTGGTGCAGACTCGATTTGTTTACAAACAACATCGTACAGCTGTAATACTGCTGAAACAAATATATGCTCATGATATAGTCATAACTGTACAATCGACTCTTATGATGTGGAGTGGGTTTTATCGCTTTTATTTGTGGAGAGTGAAATATTATCAATTTGTTGTTAATGTTTCAACAGGGTATGAAGTCTTTGGAAGAGCCAAAGAAGCCAAACATGTATCAGAGATGACGAATAAACTCTAAAATAACATTAATTTTAATCTTGTGTTGTATTTAAGGTGACACCTTCTACAAAAGTATCCGCACATCTAGATAATCCTCTACCGCCACCGTAATCTATCCTCATGTAATATACGTCAGTTTCTCAGCTTAGCCAGTCTAGAGTACGAAAGTACAATCATCAGGTCAACCGATAGATGGATGTATTGAATTCATATTTTGTCTGCATATCTATTCATATGCACGTTTCGTCTCCATATGTAAAATGGCAGGTATATTATGAGGTATGTAAAGGATGAAATGGAATTTTCAATTTGATATATACGCACAAAGACACACACAAAATCTCCGTTAGTTTTAGGCTTGCATATCACTTGAACATTTACTTGAGGCATTCTGTTGATCGAACATTGTTCTTTCGATAGCTTTCGAACGTATATTCTGAACATTCTTCAACAAATAATACTGACCATGCAAAAATGATTCATGGCTGTAGTTTACCTAAAACTTCAAAGTTTCGTACACACTATCAAACGCAAAAGAGAACACACATACGAACAGAAAAAAAGCACACACGCACATTGCACGCACGTATACAAGCTCACCCACAAACGCTTGCCGTAAATTCCATTTAGTTCGATTTGAGTGGTCATATCTTGAGTATGCAGAAAACAAGCACGGAGTTGAAATTATTCCTGCCTTCACCTCCGCTAACAATCAGAGTATATGGGAACACACGCAGGCACGCACAATGTCAAAGTGAACATAAAAATGAATGCACCGATGTGATTCCCCCAAACACATAAACACGTACGTACCAACGTAAGCAAACGAAAGCACATGCGATCACAAACACACGCTCGAATACTCATAGAAACGCGCACTCAAACGAAGGCACACACGCACATACGTACACACACAAACAAAAACGAATGTACGCACAAATGCTTCCCAAAGCACGCGCATACAAATGCAGGCATGCACGCAAAACAAGCACACGCTCCAACACAAGAAAACGCACCTGCACTAAGGCATGCTAAAAATAGCACAAAAAAGGTAGTCTCCCAAGATTAGCTGTGAACATACAAGCTTTAATTTTTAAAGGTATAATTATGAAAACAGAAACGATTAAAAATACATTCAATATAACCTCAACCTGAAAACAGAAACGATTAAAAATACATTCAATATAACCTCAACCTGAAAACAGAAACGATTAAAAATAAATTCAATATAACCTCAACCTGAAAACAGAAACGATTAAAAATACATTCAATATAACCTTAACCTGAAAACAGAAACGATTAAAAATACATTCAATATAACCTCAACCTGAAAACAGAAACGATTAAAAATACATTCAATATAACCTCAACCTGAAAACAGAAACGATTAAAAATAAATTCAATATAACCTCAACCTGAAAACAGAAACGATTAAAAATAAATTCAATAAAACCTCAACCTGAAAACAGAAACGATTAAAAATAAATTCAATAAAACCTCAACAATACAACTATCAGGAAACGGCCACAGAGTTTGATGCATTTGATGCTTGATGTGTGGAGACGAATCAACGTTTTGAAGTATTTCATCAAGTCGGTTCTAGGACTGACGTTTTCCACAAATATGTCTTCAAAACAAACTGAAATGCACTCTCAATGTCCCGAATCCAATACCTGCGGCACGTCTGTTAACTTTTGTCCTGAAAACAAGAAGAGTAAAATTGGAACCATAACATGCAAACGTCACGTAAACTCTGTGAAGTTTCTGTGAAGAACTTTGCAAGTTTGATTTTCTTATGTAAAAGGTGTGATGAAAACATTATCATATATTATCTAATTTCACCTGATGTGTGCATTGTACACATGACCATGTGATATCACCATTGTCATCACAGAGTTTCGGTCACCAATGCCATGAGGAGTCTTTATCTTTTTCTATGACTGTATGCAAGACACTTAATAAAGCATTAACCCAGTAGAGCTATGAAACAAGATGCCTCAGTGGGATACAAGTATTGTGTATGATTCAAACAACGATGCCTCTATATATTCTCACACAGTTTTCTTCCGACAGAACATAACATTCTTCGCTAATGTTTCAGTAATTCCATGTACATAACTATAGTGATGGAAGTATTGGGTGTTCCTTGACTTCTTTTGAGGGGTATTAAAGACACACAGTAAATGTAAATGCTACTTCAAAGCCGGAGTATGATTGTCAGTACACTGTTCGTGTTGGCATTACGATTTTTTATTTAATTACAAATTACATTAACAAAAGTGCCCCCATACCAGTGCTTGAAATTTATTTATTTATGTTGTGGAATACTGACGATGTCTCTATCTCTTTTAGCCTTGACTGCAAGAAAGGTGAAGTGAAGACTGTGTACTTCAGACTGTCACATCTCATATCACTTGCATACAATACACATTCGTAAAATGTAAAAGACTAGCCTGTCTTCCAGACCCGGAATCATATCATTTCCCATTCAATCCAGCCATTTCTATGAACAGCAACGACTTTCGCGGGTCCCTGCAAGGGGTGGTCTCGGTAGCGTAAAAAGCGAACAATATTTCTTCACCAAAACTTCGCACATTCATTGATATGTGGGATATTTCGAGTTTCATATACATGTATTCATAAACGGCAAATATGCACCATTGCTGTGGATAGCGATGATAATGTCTCCTATTTGTAATTGAAAAATGTAAATGAACAAAACTTATTCAGGTTCTCATTTTCCCCATTTTCAGAGACTAAGCATTAACCTTATCCTGATAAGTGACATGCCCTAGTTTGTTATTTAAGTTGTGAGGAGACACATTAAGGCAGGTGCACAAGTATACATGCAATATGTAAAATGTCGTGCAAAACTTGATTTTCTTCTGTGGAAGTCAAAGGACGACATAGAGGTCACACACGCATAATGATAAGAGAGCGTATCTCCGCTATGCTTAAACAAGTTCAACGTTACCCAAGTCACTTGGACAAAATGTGTTGTGGGTAGGGGTACTATATTTGTGTAATGTTTTGTTGACGATGAACTATTCTAATACGAAAAAACACGTTGTAACTGGATACATTTTGGTAGTATCACACATTATAACAATTAATGAAATCGTACAAAAGGAATACCTGCCTTATCTTCAACTGTAATGACATTACTGAAAATATAGCACTACTTTAGTTGATAATATGGTTTGTTTATGTGTTTGGCAACGTCGGAGAAAGACGACATTGACATGTTGATTAGTTACGTATCGCACCTAATTCCTGTTCCACATATAAAATGTATTTCTGTTTGTATTTGACGCTTAGTTTTGCCATTTGATTAATGCCCTGAATAGATAAAGAATTACAGCTTGTTCAGCTGAGCTACTCTACATATGCATGACCCGGGAGGTCAAATGGCACAAATGGCAGATCGGGTTATCGTCATTAAATAGGGGTGCAGAGAATGTTATTAATGTTGCGTTCGTGCGAAGCATGCATACATAGATTCGTTACAGAACTTGTCCCCGAAAACAACACTTCTGAAAAACACCCAATCATGTCATGTTTTAACTGAATTGTCTGTACAGTCATATGCTATCTAGTTTGGTTTGGTAACTTTACAACTTATAGACGTCAGTTACTTTCACAATCGGATTCACTCTCGCTATCACTCTCTACGCCCAGTTCAATTATCACTTTTTCTATTTCATGTTCAACTGCAATATTTCTGTCCCAGTAGTCGCTTTCCAAATTTTCAACATGGGCACAACAATCAGTCCACTCGTTTACACCAATCATCTGACAAAGGTGCACCCCTTCACAATAATATACCCAACCAGTTGTGACACAGTCACGCAAAACATTAGTATTCACTTGATCAGGTCAAGCTGAACAAGCTGTAGATAGTTTGAACGTGTACCTTTATGTGGACAACACGTGCACTTGTTTAACACCAGTTTAACGTAAATCAAAAGACTATTGACGGATAAGATTTTATCATTTTTATGTGGCTATATCACTTCTTAATTGTACAATGAAAGATGAAAGAAATGTCCGTACTGTAATGAACTGTCAAGATAATGCTGCACGGTTTGACCAAAGGTGGACATGGTATGGTTGATATTTCTGGCTGCACGTCTTGATAAGAATGTCCTGTTTCGAATCCGTACATAACGATCTTATGTACTGTGCTGAGTGAGTGAGTATGATTTTACGCCGCCCTTAGTAATATCGTGTGTGATTTATCAGCTTCAAATCTTCTTCTGATAGTTTGAGCGAAATATGAGTCTTGACACAGCGACTTGCGAACTTTACATCATACACATGTGTCATAAAGAATCCCATGACAAATTGATTGACTTCGACGTGAAAATTGCTCTTCAGATTCCCCAGAAAACTGATCATTTCAATGTCACTTATATATACTCCAACAAAACAATAAAACCGACATACTGATATACGGTACTTTCTCTTCAAAATAATGTTACAAGTAATAAGTAATCCCTGTCATTAACGTATGTTCGTTGTGTATCTTGTGACATGGCATCAGTGACAACACGTATGTCTTATCCACAAATGAAAAGTGAACAGAATATAGGGTCAAATACCGACATTGTCCAAATATTCATTCGTGAGAATACACAGATGTCGGCGGGATCCCGATAAGGCTGTCACGAAGACGCACACCACAGACACTGACGTCAGTAAAGTTAAGCTGTACTATGGGCTTGTGTAGATTTGCGTCTGTGATTGGAGTATCATGGTCTTCAATTTTGGTCTGGGGTTTCAAATCGAGGCTTTTTGAAACGATTAAAGACTATATAAGTACCACAAAAGAGTAACATTTTACACACAAAAAAATAACTACAATGAAGTTTGCTGTCCTTCTAGTGTTCGCTGCTCTTCTCGTTGCCTCACGTATGTATTTCTAATGCTTTTCTAATTCCGGAAGTGACTGGGTTGTCTAACAGCTCACACGTCACGGTGTCCCCTACCCGCGGAGTCAGAAAGGGATTCAGTAGTAAACATGTGTGGGCATGGCACAGAGAAATCGTCAACGTTCCATCTGTTACAGCAACATTCAGGTTGTGGGGCAGCCGGGCATGATATGTCTGACAGAGGGAACTCATGATATTTGGGATCAGATCAAGGGTTAAGGTTTGCAAACTGTCTAACAGGAGAAACCAAATATTTACGAGATGAACATTTTCTTACGGATATCCAATATTTAAAATTTCTGCCTCTGATGCAGAGGTAAAGAACTTGAATTTTAGCTATTAAATGAATCGAGTGTTTAGTTTTAGAAAGATCATATGAACAGTTGCTTGTGAATAGACACGTGATAAAAGTTTGTTTAGGGAAACATCAAAATGGACATAAACCTTCGTTGTCGTGATATGATTGTAACAAGACGGGCCAAGCAACCATAATGCATATTCTGCATCGTAACTGTAACTGTAACCGTTTTCATTTACACATATTAGACATATTGGTTAACCCGAAATGTATACTTCTTAACTATATTTGCATTGGAAATCGAAACTGGGACTTCGCCTATATAAGGTGACCCCGCCACTCTTGATGACAGATGATGTTTCTTACATCTAACTTAACGTGTTTGACAGAGGCAGCACCTGAGGCGTGCGGCAGTGGTTGTGCTGCTGCCGGCTCTAACGGTCACTCCTTCTGTAACAACCTCTGCACTAACTGTACCGGCAACGTCAACTGCAACCACCACCTGGACGAGTGTGAATGCCATCCTCAAGATGTTTAAGTAAGGATGTAACAGCTTATCATTTCTTGTGTTTGTGTAATATCAAGCAATTAAGTTAAAGAAAACATAATATTCTCTGTGATTTATACGCTTCCATTCTCACATTCACATGCGTAATAAGTTGAGTAAATGAGTTGTTCAAAATACGTAATTGCTTTGTGTAAACGAGACGGTAACTAATTAGTTGTGTATTTGTCTCAACAGGGTATGAAGTCTTTGGAAGAGCCAAAGAAGCCAAACATGTGACATAGCTGACAAATAAACTTTAATAACATCACTTTTCATTTTGTGTTGTATTGAATATAACTGATTCTGCGTCTTACCATATCGAGATCCCTGCATCACGACCATAATCTTTATGTAATATTCGTCATTTATTTAACTTAACCTGTCCAAATTACGAATGTGCAATTGTCAGGACTATCGGTTGATTACCCGTGAAGGTCCCGGTTAGAATATTGATCTTCAGAAACCAATGCTTGTCGTAAGAGGCGACTTACGGGATCGGGTGGTCAAGCTCGCTGACTTGGTTGACACGTGTCATTGGTTCCCAATTGCGCAGATCGATGCCCATGCTGTTGATCACTGGATTGTCTGGTCCAGACTTGATTATTTACAGACCGCCGCCATATAGCTGGAATATTACTAAATGCGGCGTAAAACTAAACTCACTCACTCACTATCGGTTGATGGACATATTCAGAAGCACATTTTCTCTCCATATGTGAGATAGCAAATCCACCATGAGGTATCTATTAGGTATAATAAAAGTTTTATTCTTATATCGACCGGTAAGGATCAAACGGGGATAAAGTTAAAAACAACTCTTACTCATATATTTCCGAAAATTAATTTCGGTGTTAAAAGAAATATCTATTTTACAATTACGGAAACGGAATTTATATATTTTGTGCATTTATAGAACGAAATTCGTTACAAACTGTATGAAACCGTGAATGAACTTCTGGGAATCGAGCGGACTTTTATGGAAGACAATTATTAGTTTGTGATTTCTCAAAAGCCGACACTAATCTGGTATTCGTGTGATAGACAGTACAGTGATAAACGACAATATATTCCACCTAATCAGTGTGAATATGGCTCAACATTTGTGAATGTGTTCGTATTTTAGAATATTGAATTATGGGGTTTTGTTTTCATATATACTGAGGAAACAAAAAAAGGGATCACACGAAAGGACAAGTGTTGCATTATTTTTTTCCAAGGTTTTTTCGCAAGCTTTGTATCGCATAGTTTGTGAAGAAACCTGGAAAAAATTAAGGGAACGCATGTGCTTTCATGTGATCCCTAATTTTATTCCCTCAATATATAGTTAGCCGATACTAACACTTGCTGGAACCCGTGAAGATCCGGGTTAGAATTGTATTTTATGTATACGACCTAAAGCCTTACTAACTACATTTCAAACTGTATCACGTTGTTACAAAGTTACATTGTGTGTCAGTAGTTATTGTTGAACGCCGTATCAGCAATCTTAAAACTATTCGCTGCCATTCGCGGTTACAAGGTTTGGGTAAAGCAGGGAGTTTGTGATCTTAGCACAAACCATACCAAGAGTATTTACATGATCCAAATCTGGTTCTATTGTGCTGTTCCACAACGAATGTATGTCTCAAAGGTTCAGATTAAACGAACCCGTGAAGATCCGGGTTAGAATTGGTCTCAGTAACCAATGCTTGTTTTAAGAGGCGACTAACGGGATTTGGAGGCCAGGCTCGCTGATTTGGTTGACACATGTTATCGCATCCTAACTGCGTAGATCAATGTCCATACTGTTGATCACTGGATTGTCTGGTCCAGACTTACTTATTTATAATATTCCATCATATAGCTGGAATACTGCTGAGTACGGCGTTAAACAAAAACCTAACCAAAACCCTTGTTGAAATTCATAATATCCACCCCTTCACTGGTTCCATGGCATGGAGTGTTACAGCGTACAGGAGTGGTGGGGTAGCCTCGCGGTTAAAGCGTTCGTCACTCCGAACGCCCGGTTCGATTCCCCACTTAGGTGCAATGTGTGAAGCCCATTTCTGGTGTCCACCGCCATGATATTGCTGGAATATTACTAAAGGTGGCGTAAAGCCATACTCACTACTGCGTACAGCCCAGATTTAGGCTGATACATATGTGTCCCGGATGTACAATAGTCTCTGCTGTCTATGGGGCAACTCCAGTTTTGCTGACACAGTAGACAGATGCATATCAACCTGGCTCCTACTAGGCTAGAAAATGTTTACATGTTAGTTTCATAACATCCTTAATAACGACATGGTTATAACGAAAGAGATGATAGGAGTTTGCATCTGAGAGTTACACTTCTAAGTGACATGCCCTAGTTTGTTATATTCACTTGTGAAGAGGCAACTTTTAAACTTGAGCCATAGTTTACCGTTTGATGGATGTAATCAATACTAACATAGAGTCCTCTATTCTGAATTCTGTTGAATCACATATTGATGTTAGACAGTAAAACACACCTGAACTGGTAGATATCGAAATCGATGTGATTTGATTGAAATATCTTGTTTACAAGACAAGATCACATTCCGAGAATAAAGTGGGCTTCACCTGCTGTGCTGACTAAATAATACAAATCTACTATGACTAAAACTATATTTGTAAATGTTATTCAACTGCTAGTCTCTGTATTTGTATTAAGCTCCTGGATACCTAGCATTTTGTCTGACGCTCATTTTCGTAAGATTTGTAAAGTGAACGCTGCGCTGCGGATCTACCTGCAGCTATACAATTACACAGAAATGTAGAATTTTACATTTGACGGCGTTAATTCAAGTGCAAATAGTTAGGAGGGTTGAAAGATAGACACTGCTAAGTATTGTCGGACATTTTGTTGTGGTTAAAAACTGTATATTTCTCAGCTTGATGTTCTACACTGAAAACAGCACTGTGCAAAGATGACTTGTATTTGGCATCTTTAGGGAAAATGTGAGCGAACAACATATTATCTGATGTCTGAACGACATAACAATATATTAAACTAATTTGATTTCTTAACATGTATAACGTTATATATTCAGTGTGAAAAATGGTTCACAATAAATGAAAGCCAAAAGGACGACAGAGAGGTCACACACGCATAATGATAAAGGAGCGTATCTCCGCTATGCTTAAACTAGTTCAATATGTAACAAAGGTTACCTTGTCAGAATGTGCTGTGGGTAGGGGTTCTATGTTTTCGAAATGTTTTGTTCACGGTGAACCAAACTATTCCAACGCAACGATACACGTTGTAACTGGATATGTTTTATTTAATATCACAATTTAAAGAAATGATAAAATCTACAAAAGGAAAAAGAAGTAATAGCGACATGGATGGCCGTGTCCAATATATAACTTAGTTCTTAGATTTCCATATTCTGCTGCTTGAGTTAATGGATTTTGACCATTGCTGCACTATTATTAACAGAATATATTCCTTATCTTCAAATGTAATGAAATTATTGAAAATATAGCACTACGTTAGACGACATTGGTATGTTGATTAGTTACGTATCGCACCCTATTACTGTTCAAAATATAAAAACAATATCGTGTTTTAGTTAGTATTTAACGTTTGGTTTTGCCATTTGAATAGTGCCCTGAATAGATAAACAATTACATGTAGATAGTTTGAACGTGTATCTTCATGCATATGTGAACAACACGTGCACTTGTTTGACACCACTTGACTTTTATATTTTTATGTGGCTATGTCTCTTCTTAACTGCACAATGGAAGATGAAAGAAATGCCCGTACTGTATGGAACTGTCAAAATAATGCTGTACGGTTTGGCCAAAGGAGGACATGGTTTGGTTGATATTTTGGGGTACAAGTCTGGTTAAGAATGTCCTGTTTTGAACCCGTGCATAACGATCTTGTGTAATGTCCTGAGTGAGTGAGGCTAGTTTGATGTGTGATTTACCAGCTTCAAATCTTCTGATAGTTTGCACGAAATATGAGTCTTGACACAGCGACTTGCGAACTTTACATTATACACATGTGTCATAAAGAATCCTATGACAAATTGATTGACTTGGACGTGAAAATTGCTCTTCAGATTCCTCAGAAAACTGATCATTTCAATGCCATTGATATATACTCCAACAAAAACAAGAAAACTGATATACGGTACTTTCTCTTCAAAATAATGTTACAAGTAATAAGTAATCCCTGTCATTAACGTATGTTCGTTGTGTATCTTGTGACATGGCATCAGTGACAACGCGTCTGTCTTATCCACAAATGAAAAGTGCACAGAATGTAGGGACAAATACCGACATTGTCAAGATATTCATTCGTGAGAATACACAGATGTCGGCGGGATCCCGATAAGGCTGTCACGAAGACGCACACCACAGACACTGACGTCAGTAAAGTTAAGCTGTACTATGGGCTTGTGTAGATTTGCGTCTGTGATTGGAGTATCATGGTCTTCAATTTTGGTCTGGGGTTTCATATCGAGGCTCTTTGAAACTATTAAACATTATATAAGTACCACAAAAGAGTAACATTTTACACACAAAAAATAACTACAATGAAGTTTGCTGTCCTTCTAGTGTTCGCTGCTCTTCTCGTTGCCTCACGTATGTATTTCTAATGCTTTTCTAATTCCGGAAGTGACTGGGTTGTCTAACAGCTCACACGTCACGGTGTCCCCTACCCGCGGAGTCAGAAAGGGATTCAGTAGTAAACATGTGTGGGCATGGCACAGAGAAATCGTCAACGTTTCATCTGTTACAGCAACATTCAGGTTGTGGGGCAGCCGGGCATGATATGTCTGACAGAGGGAACTCATGATATTTGGGATCAGATCAAGGGTTAAGGTTTGCAAACTGTCTAACAGGAGAAACCAAATATTTACGAGATGAACATTTTCTTACGGATATCCAATATTTAAAATTTCTGCCTCTGATGCAGAGGTAAAGAACTTGAATTTTAGCTATTAAATGAATCGAGTGTTATAGTTTTAGAAAAATCATATGAACAGTAGCTTGTGAATAGACACGTGATAAAAGTTTGTTTAGGAAAACATCAAAATGGACATAAACCTTCGTTGTCGTGATATGATTGTAACAAGACGGGTCAAGCAACCATAATGCATATTCTGCATCGTAACTGTAACTGTAACCGTTTTCATTTACACATATTAGACATATTGGTTAACACGAAATGTATACTTCTTAATATATAATCCTATCGTGAGTGAGTGTGAATATACATTTTTATTAATACTCCAAGCATACGAAAGCAGGTAACACCAAACATTCACTCTACACTATATTTGCATTGGAAATCGAAACTGGGACTTCGCCTATACAAGGTGACCCCGCCACTCTTGATGGCAGATGATTTTTCTTACATCTAACTTAACGTGTTTGACAGAGGCAGCACCTGAGGCGTGCGGCAATGGTTGTGTTTCTGCCGGCTCTAACGGTCACTCCTTCTGTATCAACCTCTGCACCAACTGTACCGGCAACGTCAACTGCAACCATCACCTGGACGAGTGTGAATGCCATCCTCATGATGTTTAAGTAAGATTATCATTTCTTGTGTTTGTGTAATATCAAAATCCTAAGTTAAAGAAAACATACTTTAGTAATATTCTCTGTGATTTATACGCTTCTATTCTCACATTCACATGCGTAACAAGTTGAGTAAATGAGTTGTTCAAAATACGTAATTGCTTTGTGTAAACGAGACGGTAACTAATGAGTTGTTTATTTGTTTCAACAGGGTATGAAGTCTTTGGAAGAGCCAAGAAGCCAAACATGTAACATAGCTGACAAATAAACTTTAATAACATCACTTTTCATTTTGTGTTGTATTGAATTTAACTGATTCTGCACCTCATCGAGATCCCTTAGACTAGTTCAATGTAACAAAGGTCACTTGGTCAGAATGTGCTTTGGGTAAGGGTTCTATGTTTTCAAAATGTTTTGTTCACGGTGAACCAAATTATTCTCATACAAAGATACACGTTGTAACTGGATACGTTTTTTTAATATCACAAATTATAAGAAATGAGAAAATCGTACAAAAGGAAAAAGGAAGTAATAGCGACATGGATGGCCGTGTCCAATATATAACTTAGTTCTTTGATTTCCATATTCTGCTGCTTGAGTTAATGTATTTTGACCATTGTTGCACTATTATTAACAGAATATATCCGTTACTTTCAAATGTAATGAAATTATTGAAAATATAGCACTACGTTAGACGACATTGGTATGTTGATAGGTTACGTATCGCACCCTATTACTGTTCAAAATATAAAAACAATATCGGTTTTTAGTTAGTATTTAATGTTTGGTTTTGCCATTTGAATAGTGCCCTGAATAGATAAACAATAACTTGTAGATAGTTTGAACGTGTATCTTCATGCATATGTGAACAACACGTGCACCTGTTTGACACCAGTTGACTTTTATATTTTTATGTGGCTATGTCTCTTCTTAACTGCACAATGAAACATGAAAGAAATGCCCGTACTGTATGGAACTGTCAAAATAATGCTGTACGGTTTGGCCAAAGGAGGACATGGTATGATCGATATTTTGAGTCTGGTTAAGAATGTCCTGTTTTGAACCCGTGCATAGCGATCTTGTGTAATGTCCTGGGTGAGTGAGTCTGGTTTGATGTGTGTGATTTACCAGCTTCAAATCTTCTGATAGTTTGCACGAAATATGAATCTTGACACAGCGAGTCGTGAACTTTACATCATTTCACGTCTGTCGTAGAGAACCCCATGACAAATTGATTGACTTGGACGTGAAAATTGCTCTTCAGATTCCCAGAAAATTGATCATTTCAATGCCATTGATATATACTCCAGCAAAAACAATAAAACTGACTTACTGTACTTTATTTTTAAAAACCTGTTTGACCAAAGGTGGACATTGTATGGTTGATATGTTTGGGTACAAATCGGGTTAAGAATGACCTGTTTCGAACTCGTACATAACGATCTTATGTAATGTGCTGAGTGAATGAATATGGTTTTAAGCCGCTTTCAGCAATATCACAGGGGGAGACACAAGAAATGGGCTTAATACATTTTAACTATTTTAACCAAAGGAGGGCATGGTGTGATTAAAATTTGTAGTTGTAATTCTTGTTAAGAATGTCCGCTTTCGAACCCGTACATAACGATTTTGTGGACTGTGCTGTGTGAGTGAGTGAGTATGGTTTCACGTCGCTTTCAGCAATATTCCAGCAATATCACAGCGGGAGACACATGAAATCCGCTTAACACATGTTAACCATGTTGGGAATCGAACCCGGATCATAGTTGCTTTAACAACGTGTCTGTCATCATCGCCCTGTGATATGCTGAAACTTGTCTCCCTGATCTTGGATGAGATCTGGTCGTGCAATGTTGACGATAACTTGGCCAAAGTCTCAGTGCTCTGTGCTACGTTCAAGTGCCTGATTCTAACACCGATGTGTGTGATTCACTAGCTCCTAGTCTTCTGATATTTTGCACAAAATATGAATCTTGATTTTGATTGACTTGGGCGTAAAATCTGCTCTTCAGATTCCCAAGAAAACTGATCATTTCAATGTCATTTATATATACTCCAGCAAAAACAATAAAACTGACATACTGTAATTTACCTTTAAAAAATGTTATAAATTTTCTCTTCGAAATAATGTTACAAGCGATGCCTTTCATTTTTTCGATTGTTTGCTGTGTATTTTGTGACATGGCACCAGTGACAACATGTATATATTATCAACAAATGAAAAGTGAAAAAAATGTAGGGACAAATACCGACATTGTCCAAATATTCATTCGTGAGAATACACAGATGTCGGCGGGATCCCGATAAGGCTGTGACGAAGACGCACACCACATTTTACACACACAAAATAACTACAATGAAGTTTGCTGTCCTTCTAGTGTTCGCTGCACTTCTCGTTGCCTCACGTATGTATTTCTAATGCTTTTCTAATTCCGGAAGCGACTGAGTTGTCTAACAGCTCACACGTCACGGTGTCCCCGAACTGCGAGGTCAGAGAAGGATTCAGTAGTAACAATACATTGGGGAGGATGTGTGGTCATGGTTCAGAGAAATAGTTAAGGTTTGACCTGTTATAGTAACATTTAGGTCGTGTTTATCAGCTGGACTTCCTTGGGGCTATGCGTGGGACAGACCGTGATGGTCTCATGATCACGAGTGAAGCAAACTGTCTGACAGGAAAAAAACAAATGTTTATGATAACGAACACTTTCTCAACGCTGTTAATTATGTTAACCGGTAAAGAACCTTCATTTGTGTTTTATTGTGTCTCCAGTGTTATTATTTCAGATAAATCAAGTAATTCGTGAAGCCAGCGTAAATCCAGTTTCGTGATATAACTGTCACAAGACTGGCTTAGCCACCATTATGCATATATATGGAATCCGAGAAAGGACATTGTCGCTATGTCGCATTGTCGCCCTCTCAAAAAACAAGTAAAGTGAGGCAAAATAAACCAAGACGCGACACGCGACATTTCGCGTTTTGGTTAATTTTGCTTCATTTTGCTTCATTTTGCTTGTAGAGGGCGACAATGCGACAACGCGGTCCCTTCCAGGATTCCATACATATATCATGTCGTAACTCATAAGTGTATCTGTGATCGTTACACACTTCAGACATATACTTCTTCATGGAAATTCCTAACGTGGGAGAGGCGGTGTCGTAGCCTACTGGTTTAAACCTTCGCTTGTCACGCGGAAGGCCCGGGTTCGATTTTCCACATGGGCACAATGTGTGAAGTCCATTTCTGGCGTCCCCCGCCGTGATATTGCTGGAATATTGCTAAAAGCGGCGTAAAACTCAACTCAATCACCTTACGTGAGTGATTTACATTTTTGTGATATTCCAAACACATGCCAAGCAGGTGACACCTAACATGAACAGTGCACTACATTCGCATCAGATATCTAAACTGGGACTTCACGTATACAAGGTGACCCCGCCACTCTTGATGACAGAGGAAACTAGTATTGATGTTTCTTACAACTAATGTTATGTGTTTGACAGACGCAGCACCTGAGCCGTGCGGCAATGGTTGTGTTTCTGCTGGCTCTAACGGTCACTCCTTCTGCATCAACCTCTGCTCCAACTGTACTGGCAACGTCAACTGCAACCACCACCTAGACGAGTGTGAATGCCATCCCCATAATCTTTAAGTAAGGATATAGCAGCTTATCATTTCTTGTGCTTGTGTAATATCAAACACCTAAGTTAAAGAAAAAATAGTAAATAGTCTTTGTGATTAAGACGCTTCCATTCTCACATTCACATGCTTAACAACTATGCGAATATACGTTGTTCAAAATACTTATTTTTGCTTTGTGTAAACGAGATTGCAACTAATTAGTTGTTTCTATTTTTCAACAGGGTCTGAGGTCCATGAAAGGGCCAAAGAAGTCAAACATGTAACAGACCTGACAAATATACTTTAAAATGACATCACTTAAAAGTTATCATTTTGTGTTGTTTGGAAGAGGGGATTAAAGTTAATAACTACTGTCCTATGTTTCGCAAAATAGCTTTCCAATTAAGGATTGGTGTGTGTGTGTGTGTGTGTGTGTGTGTGTGTGCGTGCGTGCGTGCGTGTGTGTGCGTGCGTGTGCGTGTGTGTGTGTGTGTGTGTGTGTGTGTGTGCGTGCTTGCGTGTGTGTGTTGTGCATTTATCGGACGACAATCGTCACACATTATATAAAATCGGGAATGAACTCTGCGAATCGAGCCGGCTGTTATGGATGCCTATCTCGTATTCATGTGATAGACAGATTGGTGAAAGCACTGACAGTACAGCGATAAACGACAATATGTTCCACCTAGTCAGTGTGAATATGGCTCAACACTTGTGAATGTGTCCGGATTTTAGAATATCGAATTCGGGTTTTTGTTTTCATTTGCCTATACTAGCTCTTTGTTTTCACTTGCCTATACAAGCTCATGCTGGAACCCGTGAAGATCCAGGTTAAAATTGTATTTTATGTATACGACCTAAAGCCTTCTTGACCACATTTCAAACTGGATCGCGTAGTTATTGTTTTACGCCGTATCAGCAATCTTAAAACTGTTCGCTGCCATTCGTGGCTACAAGGTTTGGGTAAAGCAGGGAGGTTGTGATCTTAGCATATACCATAGCAGGAGTATTTACATGATCCAAACCGGGTTCTATTGTACCATTCCACAACGAATGTATGTCTCAAAGGTTCAGATTAAACGAACCCGTGAAGAATTGGTCTTCAGCAATCCATTCATGTGGTAAGAGGCTACTAATGGGATCGAGAGATCAGGCTCGCTGACGTGTTGGCATGTCAACGTATCCCAATTGCGTAGATCGATGCTCATGCTGTTGATCACTTGATTGTATTTTCCAGACTAGGTTATTTACAATATTCCGCCATATAGCTGGAATACTGCTGAGTGCGGCGCTTAGGCAACAAACCAAGCAAAATCCTTGTTGGAATTCATAATACCCACTCCTTCATTGGTTCCATGGCAGGGAGTGTTACTGTGTACAGGGGCGGATGGGTAGCCACGTGGTTAAAGCGTCGAAGACCCGGGTATGATTCTCCACATGGGTACAATGTGTGAAGCCCATTTCTGGTGTTCCCGCCGTGATATTGCTGGAATATTGTTTAAAGCGGCGTAAAGTCACGCTCACTCACTCCAGGAATACATATTTTGTGAACATAATTGCTGACACCGCCAAATGCTTAATTAACCATATTGAACAAACTTTATGGATAACAACTTCTTTTATTATGTGAGAGTTGTCAACGTGCAAACACCTAGTTGCGGGTACAGCAACGTGCAGTAAACTTGCACAAAGTACTGTGACTATGTGTCCCAGTCCACCCAACTGTGAATGGGTACCTCGTTAGGATGAGAAAGCCACAATAACTCGGTGCGCCCAGTGGCAGCAAGAGTTGTATACTCCCCAGGGAGTTGAGATTGATAATACGATGTGCCGTTGAGATTGACATCCAATGATCGAGGGGAAAATACCAGCGCCTTGAGCATGCACCAGTTACTATAATAATAAAGAATATTATAATAATAATACAAGAATCTGTACCGACGCACCTGATGATACTTAGTAGTGGCATGCATGGAAATTTCGATACAGATTCAACATTGTCAGCGGTACAAGAATCTTTATCGAAACGTCGCACACACGTAATAAAAGAAGTTGTTATCCATAAAGTCTTTTCAATATTGTATTCCCAACTTCTAAAATGCCACTCAAAGACGATTAATTAACCGTCTCACACAACCGTGAACATCGTTGTGTCTCCTTGTGGCAGTTTCGAGAAGACGTCCTCTCTAGGGTTTAATTCAGATTAATTATCCGTTTAGTGTGACAAGAAAGTATTCATCAAAAAATGACGCTTAGCCTCGGAGATCTCCTGTCTAATTACTGGAATGGAATGCATGCAAATGAGCACTGTGGTGGGCATGGATCTATTTCACCGTTCTTCAACTATATAATGAGGATATATTTAGCGTCTATTTACCAGGGTTGACTAAAACAACAACCTGTCTCGCAACAACATTGAGACAATCTGTTAAGACAACATACGTTAATCAAAATGTTTGTTTAACTTTCGAACAGTATGTCAGATAAATACTCGGGAATATAAACAACTATTGTGCGGTTAAACGGGGTATTGTGAATCAATCATTTACTTTCACAGTTTTATATCAAATATATAAATCCCTGTATATCAACGTGTTGAACTAAACCTTTATAAATTTTCGTCGAATCTTAAATATAATTCAATCGTTTTATTTTGCTTACAATGATGAAGTGAATTTAAAACAGTATAGAAACAAAATTAGGTATGAATAGATTGTTCAGTTTCATTTGGAAAGCTATAAATAGAAAGTGCACATAGAAAATGCATCAGATTCCGTCTTTCTTCACAAGAATGTACACTGCGATTTTGAGTATATATGACCCAAACAGTGAATATGCTAAGACCCGTGAAGATCCGTATTAGAATTGGTCTTCAGCAACCCATGCTTGTCGTAAGAGGTGACTAACGGGATCAGGTGGCCAGGCTTGCTGACTTGGTTGACACATGTCATTGTATCCCAATTGCGTAGATCGATGCTCATGATGTTGATCACTGGATTGTCTGGTCCAGACTCGATTATTTACTGACTGCCGACATATAGCTGGAATATTGCTGAGTGCGGCGTAAAACAACAAACAAAGAATAAGGTGAAACAACTACACAACGGACGCACGACAGATGTTCAACTACATAAAATAATAACTGACACCCCAAGTTCAGATATAATGACGAAGTAACAAGGCTTGTGCTCGTTTCACTGTCAGACTCATCACGACAACGACAGTTGGCAATTTTACGCTATCAAACACATGGAAACATATCAATGGGGTACAATTATACAATGTATATAACACCTTTATCTTTTATGGATACGCAGTACAAGACAGTATATTCAACATCGAGATCACAGACAGCAGCTGTGAAGCTATCTATCAGTGAGTGAGTTGGGTTTTACGCCGCTTTTAGCAATATTCCAGCAATATCACGGCGGGGGACGCCAGAAATGGGCTTCACACATTGTACCCATGTGGTGAATCGAACCCGGGTCTTCGGCCGAGCGAACGCTTTAACCAGTAGGCTACCCCACCGCCCGAAACTATCTATCAATTATCGCCAGTGTTTGATTGAAATCTACATCTTGTCCATATCCCAGCACAGTGTACATGACCCCATGATACAAACATAACATGTTTCCTATCATTCACGATCATCAAGATACAATTGTATACATATACAATAATTCGTTCATATATATTTCCGAAAATCCAGCTACATGTGGGGTCAAATGTCAATAACAATTTGTTTCACATTTACCCGAGAAAGTTTCTTCCATCAAGATGCAAGAAAACGAGGAATACTTTTTTCTGCGTGCAGACCATGATACACCATCTGTGGTCATCTCGGGGAAATTATGACTTTTCACTTTTGTTACTTATCTACACTTTGCTGAAATGGTTTCACTCTGAGGAGTGTGGTCAGTCCGACGAAAGTGTGACGCGGCATGCGGTTCATGAAGCATGCTTATTGCATATGGCCAAGTAACACATTTCAATAGGACATGGCGAACCACTGTAAACGCGCAACTGCATTCACGGAAAGAGTTCCTCCAGTTCCCACATCCCAAATGATATAAATTAATATATACTAGAATTATTAACAAAACCTCAGAACTACTAGAGAACTCACAAAATAACTAAAAGCTAAAAACTTAATTACAATATATAGGGTAGAACCACGTTGTATTATCTCTGTTAATCTGCGGAAGAAAGAAATGGGGGAACGGAAGGAACTCTTTCCGTATTGAATATATAACCAATATATATATTTATATATACTATACATCTACACATATATCATATATACCTATAAATTACGCGTTTCTTGAATTTTACACCGTCTTAGATATCAAATATTGAATAATACCAACTTATTGATATTGTCCGTAGACACAAAAAAATGTTTATAAGATTTAATTTGATTTCATTACGTTCTTTGAGATTGAATAAAGCTAATTTTAAATTGGATTTTAAACGATAGCTTTACAAACTTGGGTATGTGACTGGATAAATATGACAGAAATTAAGTTCACCAAAAAGTCAAATTATCCATTCTTAAAGATGACTGCACAAACCTGACATGTCACACAACAACGCCTTATAATTACGGTACCAAATATTAACATGAGACTCAACTGTCATGAGAAAATTAGCGGAATGGTCAACAATATTAGTTAAGTGTTAATGCTTTTCTTGGAAATCCGACGTCGCTGATCTAGTCAGAAATTAAAACAACATCTCAATCAGCATAAGACGTGTGGCAGCACAAAACGAGTTAAGATCGTCTTCGTTTTGATTGATTGACGGCTATTGACAACATTAACCTTTCAATCAAGGCAATCAATTAAACAATAGGGCCACCCAAACACGGCATTATCACGACAACGACCCTCTTGAATGAGAGTACCCGTGTTTATATAGGAAAGCTCGTGCGTTGTAGATACTTGTTAGATAATTAGGTCGTGGCGTTTTGATTGTGGGCAATGTAATTAGTCGGAGAGCAAGTGGCAAGTGAGTAGGTATAGTTGTGACAGGCAGTGAGAGTTGGGTGTCACCTGGATTTTCTCAGTGCCTCATTAGAAATGTAGTCAGTATATAACCCCCCGGCTGACGACACAGTCAGCAAGCTTCTCAGCTACAATTTGAGAAATATCAGTCACAGTTTGACAACACAAATCACTACAAAATGAAGAGAAAGTTCACTGACACCACCTTCAGCGAAAACCTGCCTTCGAAGTCCCAGCGAGTCCACTGCCACCACAGTGCCCCTCAGGGATCCACACCGCTACCCCTCGAGGAGAATACATCGTCTACCCCGAACTACAACACTTCTGTGGATTTACGTCGCGTTATCGACGAGTTTGTGGCCATTTACGAGCGTTTGGACAGTTCTGATGATCCCCTGGTGAAACCCAACTACTCCTACACCGAACTTGTGTACCTAGCTCTGCTCCGGTCTCCCAACTTCTGCCTGCCGATAAATGAAATCTACAAGTATATCCAGACCAAGTTTCAGTTTTTCAGGAGAAATACCCGTGAGCACTGGCGTAACGCTGTCCGTCACAGTCTCTCCAAGACTAAATGTTTCACCAAGATCGGAGTCCGTCGCGGCCCCAACTCCTCCGGCACATACAACAGATCTATGTTCCTGTGGACCTTCTTTCCCAGCAGCATCGTCAACTTCGCCCGTGGTGACTACCGTTCCAGTGTCGATAAGGAAAGCGGAACCAATACACTCAGGTGGGGATACTATCGTATTAATGCTGGTGAGTTCTGGGATCGTGTTTCTCTTTCGTTGGAGACAAAGATGACCACATTCAAGGAAGCTCTTGCCGCGTCCCCAACTCAAGCCCAGATTTTCGAGGTACAGTTGTGCATCTTGCCCGGAACTGAGTCTCAATACACAGATCAACGCCAATCAGCCTCTCCTGAGACCCACCCTGCCTACCGCCAGAGCTCACCCCCCTGTGTAAGCATACCCACGTCGTCAAGCAGCCCAGCATCCACCCACTCTATTGATGGAGTTCACCATGTCATGCCAACATCAGTGCCACAGTACCATCAAGCCCGAGCGACCCATAGTCAGGACAGCCCTACCCTCAGCTTCAACAGCAGCACCAGTCCATTCTATCAAGCCAGCCCTGCTTTACCCTCAACGACCCAGGGGCATCAGTACATCGCCAGCCCCGAGCACGACAGCCCGTCCTTCCAGCATCAGAACCCAACCCTGGCCCAGTCAACCCCGAACACCTGCCTCCACAAACTGTCCGGAACAGCGAACCGTAGCTTGTCTTGGGAGTCTTCAACAGACATCCTGTCCTGTGCTTGGAACGCGGTAAACTCCACCCCCTGCGACAACTCCGACAGCGACCTATCCTCCAACTCCGAGTGCCGTGACAGCGGGGTCAGCACCGACACCTCCAGCTCGGACAACAGCTACCTCCACGCGTTCATCGGCGGTCGGCAGTTTCACTCACCACCCCAGAACGTCAACATGTTCAGCCCGTCGTTTAATCCCCAGCGTTACCAGTCAAACAAGATGTCGTACACCGCCCACCATGTCGACGCCCACCCCCACAGCAACCCCCGGGATACTTTCACCGACGTCCAGCTCCTACCAGACGCATCCCTCTCGTCCCTGTTCGATCTGGCATCAAGTCACCACCAAGATTATTCAGCGTTCGATTTCCTCAACCAGGATAACTGTGCGGTTAAACAGGAACCTGACAGTGGTTACGCATCATCCTTCGGACATGACAGTTATGTGGCGTTAACACACAGTTTCGTATCCAGCGGTACACCTGTTTCGTCATCATGCAAATACAGCACCCCGTCCGCCACTTCCGCTACGGCTGCGCACAGCTTTCTTCCGGAGTGCGATCTCGCACAGTTTGACTTTCTGCAAGGACTGGATGTTTCAACCCTTGCTTCTATAGACAATCTCGCCAGTTACAGTCAGTGAATTTACTCTGAAGGAAACCGATGACTGTTATTGTTAGCTACAATATCAGTACGTGTGTTTGATATGACATCGGTACATTCTTGAAGTGCTTCCAAGTGAGCCAGTGTTTGTTAAGACATGTAAATTATTAATGCTGTGTACATAATCATCATGAAAGTGCTACTTACTATTATTATTTTGTGTATCATCATGATCATCCATGACCGATAACAATAAAAATCAAAATGTAATCAGATCTCTTTGTTACGTCATATTTATAAGACAACAGCTGTGATATTAACTAATATACATCGTAAGCTGCTATAAAAATATCAACATTTAAAGTTAAAGTTTGAAGACTTTACTTTTGTATCAACGGGTGATCTACTTGTAAATATGTATGAATATATTGTAAACCTTGTGCTATGTATATACTATGCAATGTGAAAATACACTTGATGAATTGAAACTTAATCTTGTTTGTGGCCTTTTTAGTATTTCCAGTAAAATGTTGAATGGCAACATCCTCACAATGATATATGCGACAGACACGCCAAATCTTTAAAACCATTCACACAATATATGAAAGTTAAAATGTTACGTTTATAACATTCTTTCGTTTAAAGTCTCCATAAAGATGATCATTTACAACTAAATATGCAAATTTCCTATTAAAGGACAAGTGAGAACATTTGTTTAGCTTTTTGTCGAGAGTTGGAATAAGGGATGGAACATTAACCTCAACGACATCAACGGCAGTTTAAATTGTTGTTGTTTGTATAATTATTTTATTAACTGAACTTAGAAACAGGAATCGCAAAACAAAACATATCACGTCATTTCAGCGCATCATCTAGTCCTTCAAATGGAAATATCAGCGTGATAACGTCAGTGATATAATGAGTATCGTTCATCGCCGCTTTAATTTAAGCAATATTGCAGCAATATTAAGGGTGGGGGCACAGAAATGGGTTCCACACATTGTACCCATATGGGGAATAGAACCCGGGTCTTCGGCGTGACGTGCGAACGTTTCAAACACCCGCCTACCCCACCGGCCCAGCGTCAGTCGGGACCATGTAGCGAAACCATGAGGAGAGACGACTTTCCATTTCACCTGGTCACTTTACACTGCGCATCGTGTCCCCTCTTCGCTTGTCGTTGAACGCTGCACTCATAATATGAGTGTGTGAACTCGATTATTTACTGACCACCGTGTAAGTTGGAATATTGTGAAGTGAGACGTTAAACAAACCAAACAAAATTTTCGTGTTGTTCGTACGGCTATTTGGATCCTGTAACACATGTTATATTTGCAGAGCTGTCAACCCCTAAAGATGGTTTTGGGTGAGACTGAAAAAAATAAGCCGGGGTCCAGCCGGGGTCATGTCGAGGGCGACGCCCTGGTGGGGGGTCTCTGGGGGCGAAGCCCCCCGCCCCCGAAAATGAAGTTTAGTGATTTTCAGGAGCATTTGGAGCCTTCTGGTGGCATTATTTTGACACTAAATGATGCATGCTAATAAATAATAATAAGCCGAATCATTCGCATAAACATCGTTTTAGGACTTCGTTCATTCAGGCGTTCTTTCAATGTTCAACTTTACGCAAAAACGAACGAAAATGCGTATTAATTTTGAAATTATTTTTGGCTACCAGATATGCGTGAAATTATTATTTGGAGGCGTGAGAGCGTGACATTTGTCAATAAAGCGTGAGACTCACGCGTGAGAGTTGACAGGTATGCATTTGGGATTACACTTTCTCTGTAAGGTACATCCTCAATAATCTCCAGGGTATACGTTACGATCACTCTCCACTATACCCTGGATGCATCCACGGCTTGGCCCGATAACTTTATAACCTCCCTTTGCTGGCTCCGCATTCTCACTGTAGCCAATCAGCGAAGCCGTCGTTACATCCGAGCTTGACAGTGTCAACAAAGATAGCGATCGAAGTGCCACTCAGATTTTGGGGGAAATAATACAGACAAACTGATAGATCTGAAACTTTAAAAAATATATGAAAGAACTCCTTCTACCTCATTCACTTACCTGTGCATCACTTGTGTTGCCAAGTTTAAGCGGTTAGATAATTTAAGAAGCGAAACTGAGTTGTGATTGGTTCGCTCAACTTCCCAGCGTAGACACCTGGTTGGATAAAAAGCCAGCAAAGGGAGGTAATAAAATTATCGGACCAAGCCGTGGATGCATCCAGGGTGTAGTGGAGAGTGATCGTAACGTATACCCTGGAGATTATCGAGGATGAGTAAGGTACAGATTCTAGTACTTTTGCTGGGTTGAGTCCCATTCGGGATTCGAACCCACAGTCTGAGTCAAACACCTAATCGCCAGCACACTAAATCAGCCATCTAACCAGCTCAGCCAGCTCGACTTCCACAAATCTGTACTTAACTGAGAAAGTGTAATCCCAAATATAACATGTGTTATAAAATGACCACGTTCTAAATGGCATTATGTATTCAGATTTTGACCCTGTTGATTTTGTGTCATCGAAGCTAAGGGGCGGTGGGGTAGCCTAGTGGTTCAAGCGTTAGCTCGAAGACGCGGATTCGAACCCCTACGTGTATACAATGTGTGAAGCCCATTTCTGGATTCCCCCGCCGTGATATTGCTAAATCGGCGTAATACCATACTCACTCACTCATCGAAGCTAAACGACCGAGCCATCTCCCTGTCGGTGAACTGAACGTCGTCCACGAATTTGCCCATTCATCCTAGTCTCAACCGTCTGTTTTCTATAACAGTAAAAAGACCTTGTCTGTGACATACTCTTATGATTAATATTTTATATCTTCAGATTTAGCGATGAGTTGCAAAATGTGTCTAAAACGGACTTGTCTTTGAACTATATATATCATGTGTAGTTTTAGTTCTTTGTTTGTTGTTTAACGCCGCACTCAGCAATAGTCCAGCTATATGGCGGCGGTCTGTAAATAATCAAGCCTGGACCAGACAATCCAGTGATTGACATCATGAATCTCCATCAACAGAATGCGATGGCATGTGTCAACCACGTCAGCGAGTCTGACCACCTGATCCGTGCTGGTACATGTTGAAGCGATGCAACTGTACACAAGAGTGCACGAATAGTGCTGGCGACCTATCAATTGTTTGTTCGCACCAGGATTCGAATCCACAGTCATGGAATTCTGGCTCACGAATGAGTCGCTCAGGCAATGGGGCAGACCGTGCCACTGAACGTCGAATACGCACAGTCAGCAATATTCCTGCTACATCAGTGCGGCTCATGAGACCTGGACGAGAATGGACATTGAAGATATCAACGACATTAAAGGCACAAGCAAGCAACGAGCCTTATCAGTCTGTACTCTTAAATAAACTCCCACAAGAACAGGCTAGAGTGGAACCATTCCTGCCCTATATCCGAGCGGGATGTTATCAGTAAAACACTAACTAGACACAATTTTCGAATAAAATGAGTTTATATAAAAAATCATATCATTGACAATACAACAATATTCAGAAAAGGTAATTCAGTCAAACAACATGAAGAAATAATGAAAAGAAAGAGCACTATGAAGAAAAATGTACATTCAGATATTATCAACCAAATGTGGATCGTACATTATCAACTCAGCGTCAATACGAGGCTAAGCGGTCAATAGGTCAAATGACACTGTGTCATGCGGTCATCGTACAGGTAACCAAGGTAACTCTCACAAGTTGCATATGGGTCATCTGGATAGAGGTACTCATGACACCCGGAAGTGACGGAATCTAAGGGAGGCAACTCGTCGTTTTGTCCACAGGTCACGACACCCCGGCTTATGTAGTCGGCTGCAGACAGAGTGGGATAATACAGGTAATCGTAGCCGTGGGACGGAGGGGAGGGGACGTTATTGTAACACAAGCCAGGATCCACAGCTTCTTCGCTTACGTTGTCGCAGATGGCGTATTTAGCAGTAACCAATGAAAATGTCTGAGCATTACGTCCGCAGTCGCTGTCTCCGCTGTTGGACAAAAAGGATAGACCGATGTTGAAATCGCTGAACGAACTTCCCCTGCTGTCATCTATCGGAGATTCACAATACTGAACTTGCGGATAATGGCCTAGCACTTCCATGGTCGGACAAAGCTGCACTTCCGGTTCAATGGGAGACAGTAACTCTGATGAAAGTAACACTTGACTGTAATTCACTGGTGACACTGACGTAGCTTCGCCCGGTATGATGTCACTTCCGGTTGAAGCAGACGCCTGCTGTTGAGCGTAAGACACCGGATCTGAAGCCATTCCTAAACGGATTTGAAAGTTCTGTATTTTCATCTGCAAGGATTCGACCACTTTTTCCCAGTACGCCTCCGTGTTGTCTTCGTGGAATGCCCTCAACAACATGTCCTCCGACCGGTATTTATCAGCTTTGTGCGTCCGGTAGTCCCCCCGTACAAACGAAATCAGACTCTGGGGGTGAATGCTCCACAAGAACGTGGGTCGGAAACTGGTTGCCGACGTCTTCTTTCCAACGTTTATTTTCATAAAACATTTGGTCTTGGACAGGCTGTGTCTGACTGCATTACGCCAATGAGCCTTCGTGTCGTTTCGGAAGTACGGAAACTTCCTCTGGATATGCTTGTATATCTCAGGGGCGGTAAGACAAAAATTTGGAGCGTCCAGAACAGCAAGGAATATCATCTCGGTGTACGAGTAATTAGGTTTCTCGTCTGGCAGAGTTGTCCCCCCAAGCTTCTCATAAACTGCAAGGAACTTTGTCATTACATTCCGTAGATCCATAGCTTCATCTGTGTCAAAACCCAGCTGTGTGCTTAAATCCAACCTTGCTGTTTTGTGTGATGACTCCATTTCACATTGAATCTGTTCTATTTCTTCAAATTTTCTCTTCATTATGTTCCGACTGAATGTTTACCTTCCACCTCGGCGTCCGTATAGCGACTGATGTACGAAACGATAACACAGACGATAACAATACAATCCGTCATGCAGCGCGAGAAGTCACTGATTTTAATTGTCAGTAGGTAAAGTTG